AGACCAACACTCGCAAATCCTCGTGCGATTTCCCCTGACGGCTGCGTGCGCCAGTCCATGATGCTCCGTGCTGTCGGAGGGACGCCGAGAGCGTCAGCATTGTTCAGGGTAAATGTGATGTTCCTGTCAGCCATCAAACGACACACGTTGGAGATAAGACAATGGCGGTATGGTTTGACACGTAGCGGTGTAGCCGTGGGCACCTGTTCCAGCCCGCCCCGTCGCTGAAGCGCAGCGAGCCGTGCTCTGCAGAGATCACCTACAATACCTCCATCGTTGAGTCGGCTATGTAGTGAACTGATCTGTTCCTCGTCTTGAGCGTCGGACAATCGTTTGAGACCTCCGAGGTGCCGGTGAAAGAGAATGCTGTTGGGCGTAGTCGAAGGCAGACCCGATTTGCGTTTGATTAGTTGGGTGTACTTCCCCGTGAGCTTTTTGAGGCACGACGGCGAGATGACTTAAATGGTGCTGCGATACAGAATCTTGGGGATCAGGACGCTGTTGACGATAGTGGTTGCAATGCGATCGGTGATGGCCTTACGGCTCATAATGTTGCAGAGCTGGGCGACCTCTGTTTCCAAAATGCGAGTTGTAGACGTTGTTGAACGGGCTGAGTTAACCCATACCCCCAGTACGCGTGCTGCTTCCTTAGGTGGGAGTGGTGTTAATTCCTCTGGTGGTGTTCCAAAAATCAATTTGGTGTTGTCCTGCGCGTCCTGGAGGTTAACCATGACCACGGTTTTCTTTGCATTGATTTCCACGCCATTGAGTGTGAAGAAGGACGTTGCAATGTCGAGCGTATGTTGCATATCTTCCCTAGATCCTGCAACCCATGTAGTATCATCCACGAAAGCGAAACACGACAAAGAAAGAGGTTGTGCAACACCTTTCATCGCATATCCACGTCCTTGCTCCATGACCTCGCACAAGAGAGCGTCGTAAGCTATTCGCCAAAAAAGGGGGCACTCCACTCCTCCTTGATCCAATCCGCACTGTGGTCGATACTCTTCCGTGACTCCATAATCAGTGATAACCTGATTGACCTTGGTGTCAGCGATCTTCATACAAAGGTCAATAAAGGGCTTTGGGAATTTCAAGCGCGTCATTGCCCGATGAAGCATGCCGTCCTGATGGCAGTTGACCGAGTCGAAGCAGCGACGCATGTCCTGGAAAACAATCCATTGCTCTTGTTTGAACTCTGTTGCATCCTCCATGACACAATTCAGCGCGTGGATGGGATCCTTTGTCGTCGTACCCTTCAGAACCGAATAGTTTGGACCTCGGAGGATGTTGTGCTGGGTAAGAATCGTACTGAGCCGCTCAGTGAGGATCGTAAACATGACCTTCCTAGCGTGCTCTAGAAGCGTAATCGGTCGGACATCAGCCATGCTACCGGACCATTCTGCTGCCTTTGGGATACAGTAAATTCGTCCAGTGCGCCAATCCTTGGGAACATGATCCTGGGTGACACAACCTGCGACCAGTTGGTACAAAATGTGCTTTCCATCTTGTCCTTGTTTCTGAAATAGGTCATTTGATAGCCCTGATACACCCGGCGCCTTGTACTTGGGCGCTTCGTCCAGTGCCTCCTCGAATTCCTCGTACGTTGGTGGGTCCATGAGTGTGGAGTACCACTCCTCGTCGATCCACTCCTTGGGTCGATACTGTTGTTCCCATCTGGACCCAGGCTCCAAAGGCTGCGCAGGACGGGGCCCATGCCACTTGATGAACCAATCGCGGACATACTCTTTGATTTCCTGCGGCTCCAAAAGATTTTGTGTGTGGTCATCCTGAGTGACTGGATTCGATCCAAAAGCAACTTTGCCATTTGTCCTCTCAAGGACACTGTCGAGAACCTGTCGTGGGGCCAATTGCCATCGGGAAAGTAGAGTATTGATATTTTCCCGAATTCGTGTCTGTAGCCTCGCTGCCTGCTGTGCTTGAATCGCTACGCAAGCAGTGGACCATCTCTTCCCGATTTCCTTTACCCATCGCGTCCAATCGCTTGACTGCGCCGTGTCCAGGGGGTCTTCCTAGCCGGTCGATTGGTGGGGCTTCTTCCGCTTCCTCCATACGATGAAAATAATTGTCGATCCGATTCAACGCACTGTTAACCTCCTGCGAAAGGGTTTGTTGCACATCCGGAGCAGCAAAAAGTCCTTGCCTCATTCTCTTAGCTGCTTGTTGGAGGCTGGATAAGGAACGGATGATGTGGCTCATGTTGACTTCTCTCTCTGGGCGACAACCGGTGCGACCTACCACTCTGCCTGGGAGTGTCGCCTTTGCTGCTTTCACCAAAGAGGCCGAATAAAATTGCCATGTGCGTTCCAGGTTGATCCGAACTAGGGCCTCCTTGGGAACCGTGCCATTGTCGTCCAAGTCCCTAATACCCAACCTGGTCAAGCTTGAGCTGCTGGAAAATATTTTCGTGGTTTCTTCTGCATAGTTCGTCCACTCCTCCTTCGATGTCTCACGGAAACAAAACCGAAAGCCTTGAGGTTTCCTGTATTTGCTGGCCGATGTGTCTCCAAGTAGCGATGTCGCGTACAGATTTAAGGACACTACCAGTGCTTGGTGGTCCGATTTAACATGGTCCTGTAAATCGATCACCTTCGCGTTGAAGAGACGGGGTAAGATCCCTGGATATAGGAAAACCATGTCTATGCGACTGACATCCTCGAAGGTGAAGCCGGCCTCGAGCGAGAATAGCGATCTGTAAGCATCCGTCAATGGTTGCTCCGAAATCCACTGCAAAAAGGGCGTGTCCGGTCGGTGACTCCCATTGTTGTTATTTCTGTCGATGCTAACTGACAGGGTACCATTGAAATCCCCTAACAAAATATATTTGTAGTGTCCCAAAATGGCCTCGTTGATCTGTTGCTTTAGCCATTGTTGCAGGGCCTGGCCTTCCGGGTGGTGCTGTGCGTCGCTGGGAATATAGCAATTAATCACACGAAGTGTACAGCGGTTCCTGAATGCGAAATCAATGGCAATACCGCGTCCACGGTGTCGTGTCTTGTGAATGATATATTTACTCCAGTCCTTGCGCACCAGGAGTCCAACACCTGAAGCGGCGGGATTTTGTGGGACGCTTCCCCAATGCGTGTCGTATATGTGTGAATACTCCCGAGAGAGTGTAAATCGTTCCTTGTGTGTTGCGAATTTTGTTTCCTGTAAACCAAGAATGGATATATCCGCGTGCTCTGCCCAAAAGCAGAGGGCGTCTAGTTTTCCTGGAGCATTTGCTCCTCGAATGTTGTATGTCGCAACTCGAAGTGTGCGCTCCATTGTTACGTTATTGTTGGTGTTGTGTTCGTTGTAGTCATTAAGTCCGATGTCCGTTGCAGTGTTTTCCGATGTACCATATTGATTCTGAAGAGAGTGCATATTAGGCGTATTATTCATTATTAATTCCTGAGTAGTCGGCCGGTTGCATTTTCTTAGCGGGTGTAGGTGGTAGCGGATGGTGGGGCGGTCCGGAGTTCGACGCTACAAGTTGCCACGCAGCAAGAAGCGAGCTCATGTTGCTCTGTGGTGTTGGAAAGGCTCCAGGTTGCTTGGACTTGTCCAAAAGCTGCTGGAAAGTCATCTGTGTCGGGTCCTGGTCATTTGTCTTTTGAGTTAGTGCCGTTGTCTTTGATGTCATAGCAGGAGCGGTTGTTCATTCCTTAGACTATCGTCCTGTTGTCGTTGCTGTAGCTGCCTGAGCAGGCCGGGCTTCCTTTGCTTGCAGTGCTTGAAACGTCTGTGCGAGGGTGCTACAAACAATCTTCATCATGGTCTTGCGGTGTAGGGGGTCTACTAACGGGTTCTATAACTTCTACCATTAGTTCTATTTACAACGGGAGTTACCACGCGAATAGGACTTCGGCAAGGCTGTGCTTCGGTCACTTACTGGTTCGTGGTGCAGGGTCCTCCTTTAGATCGGAATGTAAGAACACAAAGGTAAAATAGACTAGACGTAAATGGAAAGGAATAAATATGGGGATCTGTTTAGCTAAATGGTGCGAGCTAGGACTATATTCCTTTGGGAATGACTGGGGTAGTTGCAAGGAGTTCGCATATTGTGATGTCCGATGAGGTGAGGAGTCGTGACAATGAAGTCCACCCCTCTGGAGTCGTTGTATGCCAATAGTTGCTGATCAGGCCTCCGTTGTACCTTTATAATGCCGTTTCACGAGGGTGGGCCGATGACGGATGCTCAATGAGACGATCGGTAATTGGGGAAGCGCTGCGGGGCAAGTACAATGTCTAAATAAGAGCGATTGACGGCGCAAAGGTGGCGAATGATCAGGATCGGCATTCCCTATTGATTGTATCTCGTTGCATGGGTTGCTGACGGTGGTAGTCAGTACCTGTCGTTGATGCGGTGTTATCCGGACAATCTGGACGAATACAATGTGTGATACAAATGATTTTGGTGGAAAGAAGACTCTGGTTCAGGTACCAGACCGTTTATTCTTTTATTCTGGGGGCGGTGCTCTTCCCCGTGATCTAATATTAACTTTACAAGAACAACCAACTGATTCTCATTTACTACACCACAGTCTTGAACTGGGCCTCAGCTCTCTCTCGGTCCTGACGCATTTGCTCCAGGATCGCGGCAATAACATCTGTGTTTGTGTTGAGCGTCGTTTCCTCCACAATGGCGCCACTGGTGCCTGCGTTGGTCGATGCAGCCTGTGCGGGTTGCTTCTGGGTGTTGGTGCTGGCGACTTTGGCGTACGACCGCGAAGCATTCACTCGCAGCGGCTGTCCTTGACTGCATTTCCTCACCGCCTCCACATGAAGATATCGTTCTTTGTTATCGATACGCGTCGTACAATCGGCTCTGAGATGCCTACTTGAACCACACGAGTAGCAAACTTTGTGGCCAGCCTTGCACCACTCCAAATCCTGTCTCCTAGCTTGATAGGATTGGCTGTTGCAATTCTCATATCTTCTTCAGAATTGAAGTAAACATACGCCTCTCGTCGGTATTTTATTTGATTATCCACAAATACCTTGGGTATATCAATGTAAATAGCCTTCAATTCCAACAAATCCGAGAGATCGAGAGGGCTCGTCTGAGAAGGCAAGCCCGCCAGTTTGCATACATGCCTCGTGTTCCATTGCAATGACACGGCACCAAGGCGAACCAGACGAGCGAGTTCATTGCCCACAAAGAGAAAGGTAGTGCCCTCTTCTACCAATTTCCCAATGCCCGCTTGGGACGTGAAACGCACTGCAAGGGTTACCTTGATACCGCGGCTGCAAACGGTCAAATCAGGTGGAAGTGGATCTAGGGTGGAAAGGAGGCTTTATTCGTATCAATGCTGCTGTCTAGTTCTACGTGTGGATGGGGTTTATATAAACTGGCTGGATAGATAGCAACAGTGTTCTAGAAAGTCGTAGAAAGATGGGCGAAGCGCTGATGACATCATAATGCACTTAACCGAGCATAAACCTGTTGCAGCGGCTGCAAATGTGACGCGAAATGTCCTCGATCTCTCCATATTTCTGCAATGACAAACGGACCAGCGTGCCCGTTATGCGTGGGGGAAGTCCGCACACCTCCACTGTTCGTCGACGGCGGTCCTGACTCCAGTCGTCATTCGCGCGGCGGAAGATGAAAGCGCGGGCTCCATCTGCATTCTCAGTCCTCATCTTTAGCAGTTCCTGAACTTGAGCCTCTGTCTCCACTGACACCGAATAAAGATGTTCGCCATCGAATTTCTTTGTCTTGATCCTTGCCAAAACACTGACCTCGGCCGCCTTCAGTATCCCCATCAGGTTCTCCCGCTTTTCTTCAGTTGTTTCGCCGCGCAGAGAGGATAGAGGGACCAGAACCCTGTTGAACTTCTCGCGGGTGCGTCGAATCACTTGAAAATTACCTGGGTCGTCTTCGTCGATATCCTCGGCGATATCATCGAAACGTACACCCTCCTCTGGATGATCCCCGGCAATGACTTCAGTAGTGCCTTCGCCATTGGCAGCATCCTCTCCTGGATCCTTGATCTCAGTCGCCTCAACGCTCTGAGTGTGCTCAGCTTCGTCCATGGTTACTTCCATGTCCTCAGCCCCGTCGTTAACAGCCCTGTCCGAGGAGGAAACAACTGGGGGTGGGGGTGGAGTGCTTACCAAAAGTCCATGCTCATCTCGAGCGATGGTCCGACGTGCCAATGAGATCTCTGCATTTCCCTCATCTGCATTTCTGTTGATCTGCTTCATCTTGCTCTTGCCTTTCGGACCGGAACCGTCAAACGAAAGGCCTGCTGCTGCTGTCACCTTTGCCTGTTCCGCCGTGCGAGCAGCCTTGACTACCTGCTGGCGGGTTTGTGCAACCATTGGCTAACAACGAGAACGAAGGGGGTGTAGGGAGTGTGGGTGTGTATGTATGTGTATTTATTGTTCGTCGAAGTTACTATGCTCCTCGTGGGATGAAGGAAAGGTAATGAGAACCGTCGTAATAGAGAGAACAACCGTGCCAAGTTTTGGTCACGGGAGCAATCACACTTTTACAGAGCTACATGTAGAATGGCTTGCTGAACCTGGTGAATTCCATCCTCGGTCTGGACTTGGATCACTCCTTCCATGCTTGAACCAATTGGGGATGGGCTATCACGGTTATCGCTCCTTCTCTGAGAACTAGGTCCAACCGAAAGCCCAGTTCTTTCATTCTTTCGCTGCTGGATGGGCCCAGCCTGGTGCCTCCCAGGCTTCGAGACCGCTAACGCTTGGCCAATCGGTATTTCCACACTCTGTACCCTAATCGACGAGCTGGCAGCTTGTCCTTGAACAGGGATGCTATTGGCTCCTGTCGCCGGGCTCTCCTAGAGCTGTCAGAGTCCAGGCACTGGACATCTCGGTCAGCTCGTCCATACTGAGTTCCTCAACCTTGTCCTTCGGGAAATCCTTGATGAACCCATCGTACTGCTTGCCAGGAACAGCAGTGTTGCCCAGCAACACAGTGTCACTTGGGGCATCACCCTCCGTGAAGGATATGACTATGTCCAGAATCAATGAGAACAAGAGAGGGATTTTTAATTACAGCGACCGAGCAATTACTTATTGCTCAGTGGCTTAAGTTAATATTGTTGGCCAGCAGCCACCGAGGGTAGCAGGATTCGCTATTAGGTTTTGGGGTTGCGCCTGTATAAAAGGAGGATCGAGGCCAGCGGTCTTTTGTTCCTTGTTCCAGTTGAACAAGAAGACCGTTGTGCTTACCACTCGCCACAGTGTGCGTAGTTTGTGCATTAGACCCTTATATTCAGTGTGCAACATAAGCTATTCGAGCATTCAGATTGGGAGTTTCCATACTCCATACAACTGTAAAAGAACTATCCCCTCGAGCAACATTTATTTGGTGATCTACGCAAGGGGCAGCAATCACGATGCCGACCGACTTGAAGTATTACTTGGATGGCCTACCGGGCTGGCTGCCCGCCGAGGCTGATGTACTCACAGTTGCAGGGTGGGTTCGAGAGATCGGAGCCGTTTCCTAAGGTGAATCCCTGGGCAGAACGTTGTTCTCAGTGGAGAAGATTACTGGCACAATGAAAGCGTTGGTGTGTCATTGGAAAATCAGCGGATCACATCGTCGTACGTGGTTCGAGTTCTGCAACGACTTTTTTCAAGGGACCAGGTGCGCAAAGGCATTCCTGGTCACCATATGGAAGATCGCTACGATTATTGCAACGAGTTTGAACTAGATCAAGACCAGTTACTGCAACAGCAGCAGAGTCAGGGGATCAAGGGCAGTGGTCAAGTAGGAATGCGTAGAAATGAATGCTGTTTAATGATCATAAGTAGGGTCTATATATACATGTCTGGGGCCTATTGTACAGTGTTGTAGCGTTGTCGTGATGCCGGGCTCCCATCCTGGCTCTGTGTGTCGTAACCGTGCAGCTAGGTAACTGAGTGGTAATCCTGTTGCAGTTACATACCACACCAGCCCAGTTCACGAGATAGTACATAGCAACCTGACTTTTATCCCTGCACATGATTCCTAGCAGTATAAATGTCATCATTATGTAATAGAGCATCAGTTCTTCCTTCATCCATCATAGTAAACATATCCGAACCCCCTCGTACCCTTGTCCCTGTTGTTGATCTAAGGATCACTCTGCTTAGCCCAGTCTGAGGCCGCGACACCACTTCTGCAAAGGACTGCACGAGGGCCACCCTTTCAAGGTTAAGAACAAGAAGACCTCGGGGAACCTTGACGAGGCGTTCAAGTTGATGGAGCGCTTATCCTCCGTGAGCCGTTGGGGCAGAGTTGTTACCTTCGATGATCGGATGCTGCTCAAGAGCCGGGCCGCGGAGTGTGGCATATAGCCTATTTTACACGCTGCCTCTGTGTTCGATAGCTAGACTGAGTCCAGATATTGTTGCTCGAGGGGATAGTTCTTTTACAGTTGTATGGAGTATGGAAACTCCCAATCTGAATGCTCGAATAGCTTATGTTGCACACTGAATATAAGGGTCTAATGCACAAACTACGCACACTGTGGCGAGTGGTAAGCACAACGGTCTTCTTGTTCAACTGGAACAAGGAACAAAAGACCGCTGGCTTTGACCCTCCTTTTATACAGACACAACCTCAAAACCTAATATCGAATCCTGCGTACTTGCGGTGGCTGTTGGCAACAGCAACAATGAGACGCCTGGGATTTTCAAAATGCGAATGTGCGCTCATGCTGCTCAACGCAGAGCTGAAGGATCCTTTCCTCCGTATGAGGAAATTTCGTCAAATTTTTTTACGTACTGAACCCATGCAATTTCTATCCTGAATTTTGCGTCAATGTTTGGTATGGGTAGATTGCTGCAGAGACGCTCAACGAGAGGGGTTCTCAATGGATTCCTAGTGACAACCCCAACCACCTTGAACAATTTCCACAGGGATCGATGCGTCGAGAGGAGCAGACTTTATTTAGCTTAATTCAACTATCACAGCTCTCAGTTTAAAGACGCGAAGAATCTAAAATAATAATATAGCTATAATGGCGATAAACGGATGGCGGGAAAGAGCACTTTATGTTGTGTTGAAAAGACACTCTCTTTTTACTGTCTGCGTAAAGAAGAGCGCTTGGGCGCAACCCTTCCTTGATTATGCATCGGTAGAACATCATTTCGAGGAGAGGCCAGAGTCTATCTTCAGGGACAGCATGATCGGTATTCAGAAGATGGGTCGTGGATGCGATAGCCAAACCACTGAGAATATTTGCTAAGAAAATATAGAGCGACTGGGAAGCAGCAGCCCATCTTTTTAGCATGGAGACGTGCCGTTTTTTATGCAACATGGACCACATCAGACACGTACATCATACGTGGAGGACAGTCTTTTTTTATTTTTGAGGCATCCAAATAGGGCCTACATTCATCCTTCGCTCACATAAATAGGATCTGAACATTAGGCGTCGAAGTTATACGTATATGAGCAATTGCTCGAGCGTCTTCTTTATTCGGTCCTATCTGCAGAGATTGACACAGTGCTCGGCTACATCCTATCTTCATGGATACAGTGATCTGTACAAAGGGGAAGAAGGGTAGGGTGGGAGGAGGAGCGGACTCTATTTTAATCGTCGTTGTCGGCTTCATCGACAGTGACACTGTCCTTGTAAGTAGTAGTCAATTTCTCGTAGGTTTCTTCAGAGAGCGGGACCGGGGGGAAGAATGGGGGCAGGCTTCTGGTTTGTATAAGGGGACGTCCTAAGTCCTTCTCAAGCAACTGCTCGATCTCTCTTCCATGCTCGAAGAAGGCGTCGGCGGATTTATAGCAGACTCTGTAGGTTTTCATCCTGATGGAGAACGCGGTGTTAATGATTAGTTGGGAATCTGCGGTTGTGGTCGTAGTTATGTATGAACATCCAATGCAGACAATCTCAACTTACTTTGTGGTTGAAGAAGGAGGGTAGTGGTAAGGAGTAAAATAAAAAGAGGAAGAGCAGATCCACGGCTCTTACTTATACCTTATTGTCAGTCGAATCCATGCACCTGCGAAGTAGTCCTTTGCCCTGTCCTATCCTACCCTGTGGACGGGGACCCTATCAGCGCGAGTTTTCTCGTCCCTTATCCTTTGAAGGAGTGACATAATAGCTAAGTATCTGACAAGAGAGTCTGGACAGTAAGCCCAAGAAGATGCCTAATCTACCTATGCACTACGCACGCCAAATTTCGCTCAAAGCATCCCTTCGTCCTCAATCAATATCATCGACATGCGCATAACACACTATCTGCCTTACATGACGATTTTGCAACCGGCGGTGTAGTTTACGCTACCCTAGGCTCTCAAATTAGATGGATATGCAGGCTGGAGGCACACTTCTGTCCTAAAAAGATTGGCTTCCCAGATCCTCATCGAATAACTGCTCAACATATAGGTGGTTCGTATGGAGCAGGATGTTAACCGCATACATAGGATTCTCAGGGAGGAAATTTTCAGGGGGACCTCTTCTGTTGACCAAAGCAGATGCTGTAATATTTTTTTCCCGCCCCCTCTGTAGTTGACAATGAAGTTTGTGCTACGTGAATCATCTAGATGGCGGAATCGTAAGGACACGATGACCCTCCTTTACCGTGCTTATGCTTACGCTTATGTCTTTCGGATGTTTTTACAAATATATGGCCGACGCGAAAAAGGGGAAAAAAGGTCAAGTGATGCTCTTCCTTAACATATGGTTAAGCAGTAGTGCCAATGACGAGATCGCACCCATCGAAGCGCCAATCTAGACAGGCTTTTATGTTTCCTTTGGGTTTATACCCATTATGAGCATTATTTCAGGAAAGCTAGGTTACTGTACACTGCACAGGTAAAGAAAGGCTTGATGTGTACTAATTGTGTGGCTTGAGTTGTTGTTTGAATTCGCATGATGCGCTCTGGGTCTAGAGGACACGGAGTACGGTAAACAACTCTACCGAGAATGGCTAAACTGGCTATGGTCAGAACGACGCGTGCTACAGGAGCGGTATCGCAGAAACCCTTTATTGACGATCCTTAATTGGACAGAACATACAAAGTGACAAGGAACGAGGTGACACCTCCGACTACAACTCCCATCGACAAAAGCAATGGAAGCCTCCTTTTCTGCAGCAGTCAAGGCTTTCTAGCCTTGAAACTAGAGAGCGTGAGTATGTATCAACCAAAGGCTTGTTGCTTTGAGTGTATAAGGAAAAAATGATGCCACAAAGCCAGCATTCTCATCTCATCATCCATCTCTTTTTTGCTCGCTTTCTGCTCACTCGCACCCTCTTTAGACATCTACGCGCTCTTCACCTACTTAATCACCTGAATCCACACCCCTTCCCTCAAATTGGGCCATGAGTAAAAACGCGAACAGCGCCGTTGCCGATCTGCAGATGATGGCATTTCAGCGACAGCACGACGCGGTCATTCAGCGTCTTGAAAAGCTCAGCGTTATTTTTCGTCATTCCTCCTACCCCATATCCGGTGAGGTCAGAGAGACGATTCGCCAGATGTTGCTGTTCGCGAACTATCACTTTCATGAAAAGACACCTATCCAGAACAAAGTTTGGTACGAGATCCTGAGCAACATCAACTTGATCTTTGAGACCCACTTCCCTCATGAACAGGTTTGAAGAAAGGAATCGGTGAATAGCATATTTTTTTCCGTGTTTGATCTGTGGCCTCTTGGCTTGATATGATAATCCGACTGTAGAGGTATGAAGAGCAGGATATATTAGGATAGAAATAAAAGCCTTTTTCTTCACGACTTATGTGAGAGTACAAACACAAAACTAAGTTTATGCCGAAAAGGGAAAATGCACACAGCATTATTTAAAGTTACAATCGTATTAGCCCTTGTACAACAAGAAACATTGGCGACAAAGAGAGGAGGTCTACAAAGAGAACCATGGACACTGACACAATAATTGGCCGCTATATGATGTTGCATGCGTATAACGAGTTGATGATAAGCAAATCGTTACACTTTTATACAAGAATAAGTTCGTACGTACCCAGCGGTTATCCTCCAACCTTTTTTTGTTTTATTGATAGATTATATCTATTACCTACTGCTGCGGTATCGTCCTATCGCTGTTAGAGACGCATGAATTTGCAGCTGTACGCTGACGGAAGTGATTTAAGAACAAGTGGGTGTAAGTCCCTCGCTTCTACAATTTTGCATTGATTCAGCAGTCCGTATTTACCCTACATCACACTTAAAAAATGTTTTAGAGTCGTTCACAAAAGACTAATAGTTGATGAGTTGTCGCTTATTTCAGCCCGACAATGCGCCTGCGGCTTGCCATGCAGACGCGTGAATGAATTACAGAGCTGTCTCAGAGCTTCCTTAGACTGCAAACATTTTCTGGTCAGTCTTCTCGTGAATATAGGCTTGGACTATTTGTACTATTTCAAGGTTCACTGCTTTTATTTTGCTGAGAACAGGGCATAATCATACTCAACACTACTATCACTTTGCAATGCTGTGGGTCTTAAATGTTGCAGCCATTATGTGATTTGTGTCATCTGCTGTATCTCGTAATATTGTAGCCTACAGCTCCAGTAGACTCTTCCGCAACACAGCCGCATTGTCTTGTAGCTCTTGGCGACGCTCGGTTCTTGCTAGCGATTCGAGAAGCCGGCTCGAAATGGCGCTGTCGTCGACAGCAATCAACATATCGAAATAAAGGTTGATCTGCTTGATCATATACCGCTCGATGGTCTGTAGAAGCACTACATCCACAATCCGCTTGCGCGCCACCTTACAGTATGACTGTAGCTGCTCTTGCAGGTCTTCAATCGCAAACTGCTCGTTGTAGTTGATGTCCGACTTTTGCAGCGTGATGGGCGCTGCCGTGGCGTTAGTGTTGGGTTGGTATTTATTCAGCAGTCCCTGAATCTGCTTCTCCACCTTTTCTCTCCTGCTGTTGAGAATGTTGTCATAATAGTACTTGTTCAATGTGAACGGAGTGCCTTCATCCGTAAAGATGCTCTCAATTGTATCGTCGATCTTTGCGATTTGTGAGCTGTAGAACTTATCGAACTCCAGTAGAAGCGTATCTTCGAGGAGTGGCTCCGCGGTAAACGCTATAAAATTGGCGATAGCATCGTGTAGATACAGGTGCATGCTAGTGACATGTGCTTTAGTCATGTCGCGCCAGCAAACTAGCGTTTCGGTGTAGATCTGCGTGAAGGTGGTGAACGAAACAAATCCGGGCAGCTCGTTTCCTTTGTAACGAAGGACCAGTTCGCTGATCTTGTCTGCGGGAAGCAAGTACTTGTCTTTGTTCATGGCTTGGTTATAGCGCTGGTATAGTCTGTAGAGAGACGATCGAATGAAGTGATGATTTCCTTTGAGGGCGGGAGGCGCGAAATCACTATTGTCGTCGCCATCGTCAGCATTGACACTGCCGTCGTTTCCATCTGCGGCAGCCACATAATCCGACTTGTGTTTGCTGATATACTCAAATGAGTAATTACCATCCATAAGTGCAGTCAAAGCGCTCTTGAGCTTTAGAATGCACTCAAAGTACTTGACCTTCGCCATGGCGGTGTTTGACACTGGTGGACCCATACTGGTAAGTTCTTTTTCGCAATCGCTAATCAATTCAAGGATTTCCTTCTTTAGGAACGGTAGCTCCTTCTTGATGTGAGTGTAAAGCAGCTCGCCTAGGAACTTCTTCACGCTAACTCGCCCCTTGCGCGCATCAGGTACCTGCTTCCACAGCATCGATGATTTGAAAAAATCGTCTTCGCGCTGCTTGGCGTCGTCCCACGATATGTCGATATCTTTGTAACTCGAGTTCTTCATCACAAGATAGCCAAGTTTCATGCACTTGCGTCTATTGAGGAGTGTGTGTATCAGACTGGGAAGCAGGTCCGGCTCGATGGTGTCGGGTTTAGTGACAATGGGGATTGTTCGCTCGTTCAGCGGATCATATCGCTCTGCTTCGCCTAGCACAAAGATATTGTTCAGATCGACATTGGCAGGGACCACCGCCAGGATAATTGTGCGACTGTCTTTGATGTATCGCGTGTTAATTGCGCGGATGGTCTGAACTATGCCTTTGTCCTGCCCATCGACGGTGGTGTTGATGTAGCCTGGGAGGTCGATGATCGTCAGTGGAGACAACGTCGGCCCAGAAATGGTGATTTCAAGGACTTTTTCGCTAATCTCTACGCTCGAACATAGAATACTGTTGGCCTCGCTGATGATTGTGTGGATGTCCCACTCCCCAACCTGTGCACAATAGCGCTCGTTGAACTCGGGAGCGTCATCGATATGTGCCGATATCTCGATCTGCTCGCTCCGGCGCATGCTTACTTGTGTGGCAAAGCGTGTGCATGTCTCGATGTTGCGAGGAAACGACAGCTTTGTGATTGCCTCCAGAACGCTTGATTTACCGCTCGACTGGTCGCCTAGGATGGCGATCTGCGGAATGGTGAGCATCTTGTTCAACCCATAGCTTCGGATCTTGTTAATCTTGTCAATAACGTCTTGGTACTCTGGATTTTCGAACATCGTGTCCAGTGTTTTATGCGTGGAAGAAATATGAGGGAGATAGAGATGAGAGACCGCATACCACATCTACAATGTATTTATTACTTCTATTGCTACGAATTATGGGCACATGAAGACAGGTAGTTATCAGTTAGTGCGCTGGATCGGGCTGAATATGTAATAGCCGGCCTGCATCGTTTTGTTTCAGGAGAGTCTAAAGCTTTTTTTTTTTTATAAGTAGGCCTGCTTCAAAAAGTAGCAATCAGAATTAGAATTGAAATCGGAATTGGAATAGGAATTAAAATCAAAATCGGAATCGGAATCAATAACAATATTATCTTAAATCAATTTAGGTTTAAAATTGTGCTGTGCAAGACGCGTCTCAGAAAAATCGTCTTTAATTGCAGTAAAGATAAAGGTATTACAGCATAGTACGCTTAGATACTAGAATTCGGGGCTGCAAGCTCACAGATGTTTCAGCAACGAAGTGTATCGGAAGATCTTGAGAATGATCTCGTATTCGTCCCGGCGGTCTGTCAGGTGGAGCGATCGTAGCTGCTACGACTCCTCTTACTGAGGTTGAAATTGTTGATGTCTCTTAACGCTTCCCTGCTCTTACCCTAAACGCTGTCCAGTTCCATTATTGTTGCTGGTGCCTCCGCCGCAACTTCGTTTGATAAAAGGTTTCCAGCTGCAAAGCCCAGTCTCCAACTTTGGCCTTCCCTGTGACTGTATGCTTGGGGACTCCACGCTACGATGTATGTGGGAAAATGAATCTGTGAAAAACGAGATGCTCTTTAATAGTGCGCGAGCCGCGCCTTAAATACTGGAGAATATCTAATGCAAGAGATGCGACTTATAGGCCGTAGTCTCAGAGGCGCTATGCTCTTGATAAAGGATCGGGACCGAGTGGTGGCAGATTCAAAAGAAAGAGGGAGCTTTCAACAAGTGGGATAATATGGTGGGTGAAACATCACACGCGCCTCTAGTTCTCCTGGCGGAGACTAGAATTCGACCAAGGCCAATTTCTTCATCCTTCACTTCCCTGCAATGTTCCAGGTCATCTCCATGGTCTCTAGAGCTCTATCTGCCCCAACATCCTAAAACAGCGAGAGATCCTCGACATTTAGGTCGAATTGGATGATCTGCATGAGCATATGATAGGTCAAGGCTATCAGAGCTGGAGCTCTGAAGAGCATCAGTCGGTTGTACTGAAGGCTAAGTGGGTTCAGTATGGTGCGAGGAAAGCGCTGCAGTTCGTGGGTATAGATCTGGTAAAGCGGGAACGCGCTGTGAGAGACGTCATAGGTCGATTGGTTTAGATTGACTGAGCGTCATAGCTCACTCGCGAAGGGCACAAGCCGGCCACGGTAAATGTAACAAGTACTAGTGATATCGGGTGAGGGAAAATGTCTGGCGATGATGAGCCAGATCCCTGAAATGCCAAAGATGATGTCGGTGATGGCTTATGGTTCTAAGGGATGATGCTGTTGAGGAATGAGTTTTCCATGTAAACGAGTGTTTGCTTTTGCATGCGCCTAGGAAGAGTACCTGCACAGCCCCGCATCGCATTCCTTCGTCTCACTTCCCCTACAGTGTACACCCTGTATTCCAGATACAATAACTGCTGATTGAGTCTACTATCCAAAGTTGCGGCACAGTTGGACGTCTTTAAAGGTGAAATAAGGTCCAGACTGCCATTCCTTCTTAAGTTGGAGAAGTAGAGGCCGTTCGTTATCCAGGGTCACCAAGGTAGAAAGGATGACCTATGCGCGCAACAAGCTTAGTAATTAACTAGAGTCCAGTTCTCGATTCAATACAGCTATCGTCATGAAGCCAAGAATCTAAGGCCTCTCTTTATTTAAATCGCTGGTTTTCATCTTGCGCATCTTGTCCTCCCTTTTCCTCTCCCGTCTGCTTTTTGATCCCTGGCACAACTTCCTTTTGCATCTGGGTCGTCTAAGCTTTGTTCCCACGTGCCCCTCCTTCAAAGCTCCTCTAATCCTTGTCATAAACCTTTTTCGTGAGGATACTCTGCAATACGAGGTACCCCGTACTGTGGTTGTTCACCTCGTCAATGCCTTCACCATTTCGAATAAGGGCTAGCATGTTAGCGAGGGATGGCGTGTGTCCTTTGAGCATTCCAATTCCATACTCCACCTCGACTTGAGCTTTGCCAATTTTTTTAGCCTCAGCAATACTCGTGGTTGGTATACACTGGCAGCGCCGCAGGTGGACGACATCAACGGCGGTGTCAACGATGACCATGGTAGTGGTGATAGCGAGGAGGCATTTGGCTGATTAACTCCCACCTAGCTCAGAGCGATGAGTATTCAAGCGTCTCAGAGATGTCTTTCCCATAGGTCTAGTGCTTCGAACATACTATAAATGGCTTTCGCTTTTGGACTTTGCGCCTATGGGCTTCGCCTAATAGTTTCGAGATTTCAGTTGTATCCTTGCATTTTCTCTGTCGATATCCGCCTATATCTTTTTCGTCTGCATCTCCATCATGCGATATTGCACGAGTCTCAGTATCTGTTGTCGATGATGCTGTTGGCGATTCATGTCCGCTCGCTGTTGAAAGTCCTCAGTGAAGCTGATGGGGACTTGCTCAGTTCCTCGGCGCCATTGGTGTATTGAATATCAGGAATCACTAGTTAGGTGTATCAAACCGAATGGAGTTGCGTGTAAGCCTGGAGATGTATAAGTGCCGATGGAGGGGTTGGATTATAATTATGCTTATGCTTATGTTTAAAGGTGTGTGTATGTGAGGATGTGTGTGTGGTATGACTTCTATCACGGCAGAGTGAGGAAGGGAGTGGAATAAGAGTCGAGTGAGAGTGGAGGTGCGCAGAAGCTAAAAAATAAAGCACGATGCATGGTAGTACCAAACCCTAAAGTCCCTTAGCAGCGAAAATTTAATTGCTTAGCTTCAAGTTGTATTTATTTGCAAAAAGCAACAAGGCTACATAGTCCACAAGACACAATCCACACCTTTTTTCGCAACAACATCTTCATCCTGTCGCGTCAGCTTTCTCATCCTCCAAGTTCTCCCTAAAAATCTCGACCACCTGATCAATTGTCTTTACACGGTGGCCCGTTGACTGACGTACTCTTGGGATATTAGGGAAGCGTCTTAGGGCCGTCTGCGCATCCTTCTCCACATACATCGCGACCACGACATGACATCCATCGCCAATTGGATATTGCATGAAAAGAGGGTTCCCATGATCTTGTGCTACGGGCGTCATTGCAGGAATAGGTCCGCTGCCCGGACCGCTGTTGTAAGCGAACTCTCTCGGCCTGTGACCAGAGACGTGGTCGTTGGCTGTAGTAAATGAGGACATTGAAGCCCCAGAAGCATCGTCACTCCTAGTGTCAATCTCCATTTCGGGTCCTTCTCCCGTTTCATTTGGTTCCATCCGTGGCCCTTCCGCGACGAACTCGGTGGGGAAAGACGACATGACTGTACGCAGCTCATCTCGCTCGGAATTGAATGAAGGCATACTTGCAATGCTGGGCTCCTCTGTTCCCTGTCTCGCAGCGCTCCATCGAGAGGCGCGTAAGCCCTGATCCTGGGTCTGCTGATATACTGAGGGTGGTGTCGACTGCTCCATGGATTGCCTCCGGTTCATTAAAATTGCCCTGTCTGGTCCATTGTTGGCTGCCTGCTGGACTGTGCGAAGGTTGCCTCCATTCTCTTGCTTGGGTCTACCAACAATACCGCCTTGATTCTGCACTTGGGTTTGGTTTTGAGATGAAGATGCAGATGGATGTCCCGGTATGTGAGCTGGCATGCGCGAGGAAAATCCTGGTGCCAAAGGTCTGTCAAGAGGAGCCTGGGAGAGTTGTGTCTGTGTGTTACTTCGCTGATTGTTGTTGGGTGCAGGTGATGCAACAGATGGTGATGTGACAGGCTTAGCGGTACGAAAGAATTCTTCAGGCATCGCGTTGGCTGTCATGAGAGAACGTCCTGACCATCGAGAGTTGGACATCTGCATGTCTCTCTCCTTGTACCTATTCGTATTAGTAGAGAAACATGCACGAAGAGTTACTGTTAATAATGCCATTCCGTGTACATGTGCAGAAAACGGCACATATGTAAATGCACCAAATCGCATACTTTTGTCGCTGGTATCCTTTTGATCCTGGAGATGCGGGCTGAGAGGTGGACTGAGAGACAGTCTGAGAGACAGGCTGAGAGACAGACTGAGAGGCAGACTGGGAGGTGGGATACGAGTATTGAGAGGAAGCAGGCTTTTCGTTTCGCTTTAAAAGCGTTTTTTGCGAAGCATAGTTTTCTGGCGGAGGTTTCAATGTGGGAGGCCCTGTTGAAGGGGTGCGGTTGAATACATGGCTTTTTGGTCCTGAAGGCTTGTCAAGATGATGGCTTGCTCGGCCTACATAGGATCGCCCATCATCCAAAGTGTTGTCCGGATCGATATTTTGAACAAACGAGAGATATGGATTGACCGGTTGCGACATTGACGATCTATACCACAAAAGGCGTCGTGTGCTGGTCAGCAAAGCGGGTTCTCTAATCAGAACTCAGAATGCGCGGAATTTCATGCGCGCTCTCATTTGGCGGAGCGGACACAGCGAATGTAAACGACATTAATGATGATTTACCTTGCTCGGTATGTGGGGTTGGTAGAAGAATGACAGACGATTGATCCGAATGGCGAAGACGAAGACAAGTATGCAAGGATAATGGAGATTCAGAAGAAAAAGGAGCTGAAGACGCGAGTGGTTTCCAAGCGTGCCTCGCAGTCACAAGACCGAAGGAACAAAAAGTTACAAAATGAGGGCGTACAGAGAGAGCACTTGATCCTTTATTGGGAGTTTGTTCATGCCCACGATGATGGTTGATGTATCCTGCAGACAAGCATAAGAGCCATTGTTGCTGCGGTCTATGCCTTTGCACTCAGGCCAATCTCCTCAAGCTTGCGTTGCAAGGTCTCAATATCCTGCATGTCCTTCTGAAGAATCGACGTTATATGTTGTAGGCCAAGTTGTTGATCTTGCAGAACCTACCAATATGCAAAACAAAAATGAGACGTTAGTAGTTCATTCTGAACAAGGACCGCTGTTCTGAAGAGAAACAATTGGTTAGGTAGCGGTACCTTTCCAATAGCCTCAAGTTGCGCCTCATCCATGATGCCATAGTTCCCAGACGGATGCAGCCTCTTGGAGTCCTTTAGGATTTGAATTTGCGCCCACAGTTCCGTGATCTTGCCTCTGAAATGTGCTGGATTCCGAAGTTGCTCTAGTGCATTCTCCAATCTCACCCTCAACATCTCCTCTTCCGCGCGGATCGGCACCCCTCTGTTCTTCAAGATCTGAACGCGTTTCATCAGCTATATGAGATCAATGTAAGGTCAAGTAGATGTTAGAAAATATAACCAAGGCATGAACATGATATAAAGTCGTACCCTTTCAGCACTTACTGTGAGAACACGCTGGGCAAGCTGGATATGGCGTCGCTTGAATTCTCTGACCTTGGTCGCGGTTTGCAGCAAGTGGAACTGCATGATCTCGTTCATCTTAACCTCAATCTCGTCCAGCTTTATCCTTTGCATTTCCGTCATGTCATTCTGGCTCTCCATTCTCTTCTTCAGGTCCTCGAATCCAACAGCCAACGCTGGTACCATGCTATAATCAAAATAGCCAATTTTCGGGTCAATTTGCTTAGGCAGATAAGAGCGTACATGTGAGAAACCTTTGCTGATACAGTCAGGAGGGGGTTTTTTTTTGCATACCATTCTGGATCAGGACATTCAGTCTTTGCTTGGTGCCACTCGAACGAATCGACATTTGGTGGGGGTCCATATTTGCTAACATCATCTGGATGTACAAAGTTGTAGAAAAAGTGCTAGATAAACATGGCACTCATGTCAATAATAATGTCCGACCGCATGGACAAACACAGAGTATCCCACGTCGCCTTACTTTGAACTGACAGTTGGGGTGTGTTGGATCCCACGCGTTCTTGATGCACATGAGGCTCTGCCAGACAGTCATCTGTGGTTTATCATTTCCACCTATTGAGCAGAGATCGTTGAAGAGTGAGCGCATGCCTATAATCCCATGCAAATTCGATCCAATGAGGCGGCTTTCCATGACCTTACCAATGATATATTGCTGCCTCGGCCCTGATGCGAGAGAGGCGCTGAAACTTGTGTTATTTGGTACGGCAGTTGAGGCGGTCGATGCTCCAAAGCCAGTTGACGCTCCAAAGCCAGTAGTTGCTGATCCGAATGGTTTGGGTGCAGATCCGAAAAGACTCCCTGTAGCAGGGGCTGCTGTCGTTGTTGGTGCTCCGAACGAAAATCCAGATCCCGCTGCAGTTGTAGGCTTTGCGCCAAACAAACCTCCTGATGCCGGCGCTCCAAACTGTGATGTGCCTGTAGAACCAAAGAGTCCTCCTGTGACAGGCGCGGTTGACGCTGTTGGCGCCCCAAACAGTCCTCCACTCGTAGGAAATGCCGATGGTGTAGTCGAACCAAATAATCCTCCAGTCGCAGGCGCTGCTGATGCTGTAGTTGACCCAAATAAGCCTCCTGAGGCGGGAGCAGCCGAAGAACCGAAGAACCCTCCAGTGGCGGGAGCAGTCGGGGCGCCGAACAATCCTCCAGCGGCGGGAGCAGTCGACGTAGAAGCACCAAAAAGACTAGTACCTGTTGATCCAGTAGGCTGGCCAAACAGACCACCAGTTGCAGGTGCGGCTGGCTTAGCGCCGAAGAGACTACTTCCTGCAGCTGGTGCAGCCCCGAAGAGAGATCCTCCAGTAGGTGCGGCTGCAGTTGCAGGCGCTCCAAAAGTGAATCCGGACATTAGTGGTGAATTTGCAGTTGTATGGAAATGGTTGTCGGTTGGCCTGATCGGCGGTCTAGTCCAAGCGAGCCCAAAGTCGCAGGCGTTGATCTAAGCAATCCTGACAAAGATTTCCTGCGTAGTGTTCGATCCTAGAATAGAAGACAGCTGGCAGGGGCGGTCGAGCGATGGTGTTTCCTTGAGCAAAGGAGTTTAAGGAAAGCACGGTTGAATGAGCATCAACGCGTGGAGCGTTAGTTCCTGAGAGTTGTATTTTTCTGCCCGCCTGCCAATTGCCAATGCAGTGACGTAGACACTGGAATGGGCCCCTTGGCCCCGTCAAGCAACATCCATGAGCATCTGCCTACCATCACCTCCTACTGGTTCAGTTACTCGTTATGACAGGATATCGTCCCAGGAAAACTACTGTTGCCACCAGAAAGCGCAATGCTACAGCATCGCCAGCATCGCGTGGTGCAGCCATTTCAACTGCCATCCTTGCTGGCACCTTTGCTGCGCTGGCCTCTGTCTTTGCCAAGCTGACACTAGATGTCCGGACAGTCGAATTTTTGCGGTACGCCTGCAACACCGTCCTTGCACCCACCACGCCATACTGCACGTCTCTATTCATTGCAAAGGAGGGCGAAACGAGTCCGGTATGGGGAGAACTCGATACAGTTGTTCATGGAGCGTTGATCTTCAGTCTTTATTGACGCGTTATTCTCGTATCTACCTTTCAATGGAATGGATCATCTCTCTTGCTGGCTACGGCAGATTGTTTTGGCCGTGAGGACGGCATGCTTCGGATTGATCTTCATTTGTAACGCGGCCATGTGGACCCTGTTCACCAAGGCATTGAACCGCTCAAAGTCTTCGGCCACTGTCACTGTGATCAACAGCGCCGCCAACTTTTGTCTCACAGTAAGGAATAATTAAACTGGCCCGCGTGTTCATTTGGACCTACTACTCGGGAATGACGAGTGCTCATCAACTGTTTTTTCCGATCAATCATTGTGCAGGCCGTTCTCGGATATGCGCTGTTCTCGGAGCCATTGGCATTGCAGTGGTGGTTTGGTGCAAGCTTGATTGTCTTGGGAAGTGTCCTTGTGAGCTTGAACGAGACGAACAATGCATCTAAACAAAAGAGCGAGTAGGTAGAAAAGAATTAACATCTTCAATAAAGATTTCCTGGTAAATTATCTGAATGGCTCGGCTGCATGCAACAAGTTATAAAGACAAGCGAAATTAAAAGTGTTTTCATGGCGTCCGGTGCTTCCGATGCCTCGCTTCAAGTACGGCGCTCATATGCGTATATCTGCTGCTATGATGCCCCTGAAAGGAAAGTACAGCTGTACCACGAACACCGCATTTTGGCACACCAAGCATCCAAAACATGCTGCCGAACCATCGTAAACCGTATAGTGCCTGTATCTCCACTGGGGACATCGCTGGAAGGATCCATCTTTTAAGAAAGCCTTGGTTGGTCCCTCCACAGTTCCTAGAATAACTTTCTTGTCCAAAATTTCTTTTCGTTCAGTTGATCCGTCGGGCCCTTCTTCTCTTTCTACGCTCTTTCTCCTGATCGCACGATTCATCATTGCTTCGTATCAGCACTTTTGACACCCTAAACATCGACTGCTTTTGAACCAATCCACCTAGGAATACAGTGCACCGCTATTTAGTATTGCCGTCCATACAATTACATCAAATGGCATCCCAGTACATGTCTCCGGTCTTGTGGAGGACAGTAATCCAACGTCCGGACATCGTGCTGCTTCAAAAACTGGTCAACCAAGCCAAGGTAGCATCTACCTCACTCTCTGTAGCGTCTTCGCTTACAACTGAGCTTGGATCTTTTCAGATCGAACCTCCAATTATGCGCGTTCCTATGGATTGCATTCCAGTTACGCTACGAGGCAAGGCGACAACTCTCTTGGGAATGAATTTCGGGGATTCCAGCAGCTCACCCGATTTCATGGCATTGTCGGTCTTGCAGTTCAGTATCCTGTCGCTATACAATGGCCACACCACTGAAGCAGAAATGCGCGAAGAAGCTGTTGTGATGCTGGTCAAGGTATGAATACTTCCTGTGTGCACTGAAAAGGCTGTTCTTGTGGCGCCTGTAAGCATGTATTATCTGAAGTTAATTAATCGAACGGCTTTTGTATACGACGATAGGCGTCCTCGGCAGCTGATATCAATGGCAACTGCTTTGGAAACGCCAGCAACGTCTTACATCTCGCGGCATTCTTGGGCATGATGACAGCGCTGAACCTCCTGATCGTGAGTGGAGGGGACCCTTTGATCACGAACGGCTTTGGACTCAATGCTCACGATATTGTAGAGGCTCAAAGGCATAGCCAAAAAACCAGATATCGACAGGACGACGGACTGGACGGGGAGGCGGAAACTTGGCATACGACGAATGTATCTCCGTTGCGTATTCGACAGAAAGACCGCGCCGACTCCGCACTATTTGATGTTGAGGGCCACTCGGATTCGGGCTATGAACACTTGTCAGATACTGGTGAGTCCAGTAAACTTGTTGAACTGGATTTGGCAGACAAAGATCAATTACCCTACCGGAACCAAGAGCAGCATCAGCAGGAATACAATTGGTGCGGTAGCGACGACACTGAGGAGAATGATCCTGGATACAGCATTGGCCTCCATGAGGACCTAGCCTGGCATCAACGGATTCGATTCTGTAGCTCATATCCGAGCGATGTAACTCCGCTTTATTCGATCCTGAAGAACCGCCATGGCGGTCAGCTAGAGCTCTATGCAGAGAAGTCGAAGGAAATTCTCGCCTTCCAAGCCTATCAGGATTACATTGCTGGACTCCAGATTCGACTGAGATCCAGAGTACATCCACAATCGATTGCGTCTTTCGAGAAGGATGACACCTCCATCAGCAATAAGAAAGCTGTCCATTGGAGCTCAACTAAGAGAATCCGCATATATCAGCGTCACATCAATCAGGAAGGCATCCATCTCGATCAAGGCGGCTTTGATCTTTCTGAAGAGTACGAAGAGCACATACAGGATCAGTGCAGCTCAAACCCATCACTCTGTACTGAGAGTTCCACGACGCTGGATGGTAATAACATGTATGGATCATCGAGCCCCTACGATCGATTCAACAATAGTAGTCTCGACCTTAGTGCTGTGCGAGCGTTATCAATAACTCCAGCCTACTATCGACCATTGCCCGAGATACCAAAGATTGTAGAGTCCGGTCATTCCTCTGAAAGGCGCAGGCAACTTCAACAGCCTACTGCAGAGCCTCCAACGCTGGTCACTAGCGAGAATTCTTCAAGATTGTCAAGTGCTGTAAATACTGTACGCGGACCGCGGCCTTTGCACTCTCATATAGAGTTGTCAAGCTCACCTCTCTCGACGCCTTTGATTTCGGCGAGCGAACCGCAATCGATTGCAGCTTTTCTGCCTGAAAGCGCGTCGTCGTCATCTGTCCTTAGCTCTCCAGAAAGGCTTCCGAGGGTATTGGTGCGCGCTTTTTCCCTATCGACCACCGAGTCACCGTCGCTTCGTCGAACACCAAACACTGCTGTCCACAGCTACACATTTCCTGGTCCAAGGCCTTCTACTAGTCAGTTCATGCGCTCGGACAACGGCGAGGACGACACTTTGCCGCTGCAAGTCGTCAAATCGCGTCATCGACTCTCGCTTAGTGCCGTTACTGGTGGTTTAATCCATGCTCTCCCTGTCAATGTGCACATTCCGAATACCGGCCCCCTGTTTCCAAACTCGATGTCTGTGTGGGCTACAGTGCGATCACCGCAGCGCTACTCAAATCAGAAGGCAGCTCCGTTTCCATCGTACAAATCGACGTGTGTGCAACGTGGCAGTTTCGATTCCGATGATGAATTGCACGAAGAAAGTGATCATACGAATACCGGTTGCGTGGACCAAGATTTAGCTACTCTTGGAAATCAACCTGAAGCTGAAGCCTCCAGTCCGCCCAGCCAACAAGGGATCATTGTGCATAGGGATGTAGTCTGTTCGTCCGACAAGCACGCCTACTGGAAACAGCGAAAGGATGTCAAGGTCGTGATTCCGCCTCAGGACTCGTCACTGAGAGCCGCATCGCCTAGCAACATCCAACAAGACATGCAAGAGATTATTGAGGATGCAGACATCCAACAAACATGTTGTATCAAGGTTCCAATGTCGCCAATCATGGAACAACAGGAGGTATGTGCTGTGATAATGGGCCATATTTATGAAAAAAAAAAAAAAAAAAAAAAAAAAAAAAAAAAAAGATTGAGTGATTCTTTTAATGGTGCTAATACCTGTTGTCGGCGTCGGCTGCTCACCTCAAGCAGAAAGTCGTGAGTTCCCACATAGAGCTGCTTCAAGTTGCCACATCGTATGCAGGCTATGAAGATATGGAGTATATTCATGGAGTAACCCATGCGACTACCTCAACCGCTCTCAAACGACTTTCAAAGGGCTTTGAAACTGGTGAAACTGTCGAGGACGGGAACACAAAGCACGAGGAGCTCTTGGGCGCAGCCTTGGTGAATATTCATGGGATCAGTGAAGGACTTGAGGTATGAGCATATATCGTTATTGATGATGGATGAAGATGCCATTCAACAACCAATGGACCGACCGCTTTTCGTTTCCTTTTTTTCTCTTTGACGTTACATAGGCGCAAGGCTATGTTGCACGACAGTCAAGAATAGTAGCAAAGTACTTCAGTCCAGATGAAGGAGCATCTACGCCCAATTCAATGCATGGGCCACCCATTTACACTGCCGCATCCAGGTTTAGTCTCTGGAGGGACGCGTCCGAGATCGACAAGCAGCCAAAACGACGGACTCTTTCAAGCTGTCCTTCGCCTTCGACCACCAACACGGGAGCCCTGTACATGAGAGGTAATTTCTTATTGGTAGTTACCCTTTGTAAGGTAGTCCATAACTTTCCAGTTGTACTAACATAGCCCTATGTTTGATGTTTCTAGTCAGAAGCATATGCGGCTTTGTGTTGCCGATACCTGCCGAGAACACAATGATCTCTATCCGCATTGACACTGGACACGAAAAAGTGGACACGGATTATGTTCCACTGGAAGCTATCGAGATTCTGTTTAACCAGGAATTCTGCCTGTAAGTATTCACATTTATAGCGATCTAGCATACATTAATCATTGTGCTGAAATATCTTCCTATTGCTTTGCCCCTAGACCTGTGAGTCCAGGATTAGAGATTACGATGACGCTACACCTCATGCAGGCTCCTCACTTGATGCCTCGCTTTACTGTACCCCCTCCGCCTGTCACGAACTTCGCAGGCGATGACGTTCCAAGACAAATGAAGGTCATACTCCCAGACTCAAGTCTATCCTCTGACTCTGCGGCAGGCGCTAAATCCACCCCCGGTCGCAGAACTAGGCAGCTATTACCGTCGTTTTTGAAAAAATCCTCCCCGGAAAGCTCACACCGAGGTGCGGATTCTAGCATAATTACCAAGGCAAAATCGCTCGGATCAAGAGCAAAACTGCCATCCGGGTTTGCATCAGCGTCCAGCGCTACAATGTCTTTAAGTATTTGGAGCTCAAGGTCGAGCTCACGTCTTGGCGTTGACGCCCCATCGACCATTTCGCAGTCTTCTATCTCCTCTTCAGGTCAGAGCATGCTGTCCAAGTGGAAGAAGGGAATCACATCGATTCATAGGAGTCACAAGCCATCGACAATGCTACGAGCCCAGTCGCCAGGCCTCACTATCGAAGAAATCGAGCATATGAAGCTTTCCCAGTCGTTTCACCAGACACAGAACTCAGCTCAACAGCTGCAGGAGTATCGGGATAGTCTCGGCGGTGAGTCTGTCGATAACACCGCTCAGTCATCCTCGCATTCGGAAATGAGGCATAACTCTAGTCTTCGCCCGCCTCCACAGTTGAGTCTTTCCGAGCTCCAAGAGACGGAAACTTCGCTTCAAATCCTTTCGCGACACATCGACTTTGACGACGAGCTATGCGTTGCTCGCTCCGCAATTGCTTTTAGCAATCTTCGATCCCTTTGCACCAACCAGACCGTAACGGTCGAGTTCCAAACTGTGAACAACTGGGCGGACATGAACAATTACTCACAGGCCCACGACATGTACATTTCTGACGCTAGCAGAAATAGCTATGCTTCCTACGTGTTGAGCCGCAATGAGCCTAAGATGGACCGAGGACCTTCAGGCCAGGGTTCTATTATCGCCAAAATTATGACCACTCTTTGCTTCATCCCTGGCCCCGAAATGGATCCCGAAGATGCCATCTTTGGAGATGAGAACTTCGTCCCAACCGAGCCCCAGAACTTGGAAGAATGCCACCATGGACTACATTATTTCCAGTGGCAGGACCGAATATCTTTCCAGGGTCCATTATTCTATTTGACAGAACGTAATAACTGGAAGGAGGCATGGTTCTGTATCGTTGGATCAAGTCTTTGGCAGTGTCGCGCACCAAATGCGTCAGCATCGCCTTTATTAGAGCAAGCAAAAATTAAGCTGGAGCGAATCCGTTGCTTGGACTTGGAGAGCGTGCGACAGATCGGGACTGGTCAGGAGAGGCTTAAGGCAACCGCCCAGTACTTGGAAGGCCAGGAGTTTCACAGTTCTTGCCAAGGCGATCCATGGAATGACTACAGAGTAGTAGACGAGGAAGACATCCCGGAAGATGAATCGCTTTGCCCTGTGCGAAACGGATTCCGACTGCATCTTCATCTATCCAATGGATCTGACAATGGCAGACAATTTGTTGCTCCGAAAGTGGCGGTTCAGGACTTTTATGCAGTCTCGCAGGAGATGGCACAGAAGTGGGTTAATGCTCTGATGTTGGCATGCCGAAGCCGGCCTGTAAGGCCTTATTGGCTGCGCGATTGAGCGGCGCACTTCCTTGTGTCTATAAGTTCTTCGGATGTAATAAAGCACTGCTCTGGCGAGAAGAAGGGGGCACTGGTTACTTAAAAAGACGTTTTTGTTTTTGTTCTGGATAAAAGATATTTACTGTCATTGTAAGGTAGCGCAGGGTCGCTTAGCGCTTTCATGATGAGGCTCGCGGTGCATAAGGTAGGTCTCAGCATGCATTGTAGATATCTCATAGCGATGCGCATCGGCTGCCCAGGAGCTAGTGTGAACTCTTCTGTTTTCAAGCGGATGGGCTTCTACAAATACTCCGCATGACACTTCTCACCTGGTGAGTATCTCCTCGCAGATCCTGTTTATGGAACTCCAGCATTCTGCGTGCCTGAATATAATGCCCCCGCGATAAACCTCTTGGATAACAATAGACTCTATTGCTGCCTTGCTAGGTCCTATGCCCACAACGAACATCCAAGGGAGATAAGACAGCAGATTCGGTCAGTCAAGGACATACTATTTAATTGATTGGGTGATAGCATACTGTGTGCTGCACAACACCTTGGCGCCCCATGGTGATATCTAGGTGGAGGAGTTCCTCGAGGAAGAAGCGGAGAAGATCCCCAGCAATGCTGACGACAACAGGACGATCAGCGCACGAGTGTTCTGCGAGACTAAAACGTGCACACGACGTTTAGACAGCGATCTTACTTTTCCAGGACCTTGAGTGCAGCCTCCACTTCTTCCATTGTACTTCAGTTACTCAATTGAAGCTTAGAGTTCTTGCTGTCCTCTCTTGGCTTACTTTGCTCGATCTTCATCTGTGCTGCCTACTTTTTTTTCCTCGATCTCCCTCTCGAATCCCTAGCAGATAGTGTGTTTTGCGCATGTCGATGATATTGATCGAGGACGAAGGGATGCTTTGAGCGAAATTTGGCGTGCGTAGTGCATAGGTAGATTAGGCATCTTCTTGGGCTTACTGTCCAGACTCTCTTGTCAGATACTTAGCTATTATGTCACTCCTTCAAAGGATAAGGGACGAGAAAACTCGCGCTGATAGGGTCCCCGTCCACAGGGTAGGATAGGACAGGGCAAAGGACTACTTCGCAGGTGCATGGATTCGACTGACAATAAGGTATAAGTAAGAGCCGTGGATCTGCTCTTCCTCTTTTTATTTTACTCCTTACCACTACCCTCCTTCTTCAACCACAAAGTAAGTTGAGATTGTCTGCATTGGATGTTCATACATAACTACGACCACAACCGCAGATTCCCAACTAATCATTAACACCGCGTTCTCCATCAGGATGAAAACCTACAGAGTCTGCTATAAATCCGCCGACGCCTTCTTCGAGCATGGAAGAGAGATCGAGCAGTTGCTTGAGAAGGACTTAGGACGTCCCCTTATACAAACCAGAAGCCTGCCCCCATTCTTCCCCCCGGTCCCGCTCTCTGAAGAAACCTACGAGAAATTGACTACTACTTACAAGGACAGTGTCACTGTCGATGAAGCCGACAACGACGATTAAAATAGAGTCCGCTCCTCCTCCCACCCTACCCTTCTTCCCCTTTGTACAGATCACTGTATCCATGAAGATAGGATGTAGCCGAGCACTGTGTCAATCTCTGCAGATAGGACCGAATAAAGAAGACGCTCGAGCAATTGCTCATATACGTATAACTTCGACGCCTAATGTTCAGATCCTATTTATGTGAGCGAAGGATGAATGTAGGCCCTATTTGGATGCCTCAAAAATAAAAAAAGACTGTCCTCCACGTATGATGTACGTGTCTGATGTAGTCCTTGTTGCATAAAAGACAGCGCGTCTCTATCTTTTCTTAGCAAATATTCTCACATGGTTTGATTACCGCATCCACGACCCATCTTCTGAATACCGGCCATGCTATCCCTGAAGATAGACTCTGACTTCTCCTCGAAATGATATTCTGCCGATGCATAATCAAGAAAGGGTTGCGTCCAAGCACTCCCCTTTATGCAAATAGTAACAAGAGAGTATAGAGTATAATCTAGCCCTTACATCAATCAGATACTTCTACAGTGCGAAGTTATACAGTGTCTGCGTCAGAGATGTCAAGAGTATGTTTCAGAAAGTGTGAAGATTTATAATTAGCAGAAGAATGTGTAGGTATCCATCTCGTCTCTTCAGGTGAGAGTATGCCTCCTGCAATTTCACTGGTCTCGCTTCCCAATCAAGCATACCAAAAATTGACTTCGACGTAAGAGGACAGCGTTATAGTGGAAGGACGCGAAGAGGATGGTTAGAAAGTGGTATCCACCGCACACACGCCATCTATACGATTGTTCGCTATATACATAAAGTAGAGCGTCGTGTATGTTTTCAACGAGTAGCACTGCGAACTGTGAGCACTAAGCACTTCGAAATATTTTACCTCGAACCCACTACAATGTACTCCTGTTTTCATTGGACACTTGGACACACACACATTTCTTAATCAGGAACTTTTGGTTGGTTGTGGTTGTACGAGAATCGATGAAGAAAGGAGAGGGACTTTTTTTTTGATTCACCGATTCTCAAATACTCAAAACCACCCTCAACTGCCCTTCTTCATCCTCCTTAATACAGCCATGGTCATTAAAAGAAAAAACTCGCTACCGCAATCCAAAACGCCAAAAGCTGTCATACCGTCAAAGGTGTTTCAAAATGCTGACGACGATTGTTCTGGACCAGCTTGTCGTCGCCTTCAACCTCAGACCTGTGCCACTTTGCCATTTCCTAGCATCAAGCGCCTTCCGGATGACTAAACCGCAATTCGACTCTATCGTCAACCTCATCAAGGATCATTCGGCGTTTACCCGTAGAGGGAAAAAGCCCCAGAAGCGTGTCGCGATCCAGCTCAAGGTCGCTCTTCACCGTCCGGCCCATGATGGCTTGCTATCCTCGCTCACAGCTATCAGTCCAACGCTTGGAGTTTCTGTTGGTTCCGTTGCTCGACACACCAAGCGATGAGCTAATGCTTTGTGTGCGCATATCACCACATACATTAAGTGGCCCAGAGGAAAAGGCTGTGGTCAAGAGACATCTAAGACGAGGCCGATTTTCAATGTCATTGGAGCTGTCAACGGCACGATGACCCCAGTATTCAGGGCTCCTTTAATCAACAGAGATGTGTTTGCTATCACAAAGGGCTACTTCACTATAAGGGGCAACCACTGTTTGTGATCACCGAGGCGTCTTCATTTTTTTCTACAAAGGGTACGTCGGTACCAGACATGGCTCAGCCGCCTACAAGGACACTCCATTGTACAAGGACAAAGAGCGCTTTTTTTTCTGGGGAGGACCATCTGGTTGGAGATCCGGCGTACGCGTTGACACGGACAGTTATCACGGCATACAAAGGGAAGAACCAGCCTGTTGATCAAGATCGATTCGCTTCAATCCGCACGCGAGCAAGCAAGATATGAAAGGGTTCAAAGAACGCTTGGTGAAAGGAAGCGAGAAGCGATTAGGGCTGCCATGGTTGAGTAATAAAAGAAAAAGCATGGTTTATTCATGAAGGTTTGCCGGCTTTCTTTAGTGCCTATCTAGTTCTTTCTAAGATGCGCTACCTGGAGGCGACTTGGTGATTTTTTAGGATCTTTTGGCGGAGACCTTGAAAGCCTTTTTGGAGGAGAAAGTAGTTCTAAAAATGGCCCTCGACCTCTGGTGAGCGACTCAATGAGCGTCAACCTTTCCATGTGCTCTTGCGTCCTCAGTTCCTCCTTCCTGATGGACGATCTGCTCTCTGCTTCGATCTCGGCTAACTTTCGTTCATGCTTCTGACGCGCCTCCTCCATCTTCAATCGAATCTTCTTCAATTCGACCTGCTGGTCCAGTAGATCCTTGGCCTTCATCACCTCCAGCTCCTTCTCCCTTGCAACCTTCTCGTACTCCAAGCTCATCCGCGCTGTCTCACTCAATTCTTTGATTCTGTCTAACAGTGTCCCTAAAGGGGCCTTTTTGGATTTCCTGAAAGTCGATGGCTGCTCGTCCTCTTCCCCATGCTCTTGCCCATCCTGGTCCTGCTTCCGCTGCGGTTGCACTGACTTCGATCTTACTTGGCTACGCTGCTCTCGTGTACTACTTTGCGGTCGAGGGCGCCCTGTAGGAATTTCCTCCTCCTTCTCCCCCTCCTCCTCCTCCTCCTCCTCCCCCTCCTCCTTCTCCTCCTCTTCTACCACCACCACCACCAATCCATCCACATCATGCCGCTGCTCCTCAGCCTCCTCGTCCACATCAGCCCATTTGCGCGCCTCTCTATCGCGTGTCTGGTCCTGAGCCTCATCCTCATCAATGACCGGATTGTCCAGGGTGCTGAGAGAGTCAGCGTATTCCGTCGGTATGTTTCCCCAGCTTGTACCTCATGTGTTCTCTAGATCGAAGTAGAAAGGGCAAATCTCCTCGATAACATTCCTCCACTGATCCTCGTCCGTGCTGCCGAGCCCAGATTCGTTTCATTTGGCGTCAGCAAGTTTGAATTGGGCTTTCATCTTTGAGATCTTGTTCTTGATCTGCATTGAGTCGATCCGGGTGTTGGGGAAGCGGTTATTGAAGACCGTCGCAATCCTTTCGTAGACTCTGATCTTTGGTGCTTGTCGAACTGTATTGTCCCTATTGCCATGGTGTCGGAGGTAGACCTCAGGATCCTGAAGCTGGGTCACAATCCATGATGTTTCTTCGGCAGAGAAAGTATGTCCTGCTCTAGTGCCTCGAGATCGGGATGACTCAGCACGGCTGGTCCTGGCCTGGCTGAGCTTTGCCTCTTTAGCCTTTGGCGGATCCGAAGGCGCAGACAAAATCTCTTTGCGCTTACTGGGCTGATGTGAAGACAAAGAGGAGGCCTGGGAAGACGGAGAGGAGGCCTGGGAGGGGTTGGTCGACCGGGATGTTGGATGACGAGTTGCGGTCGCTGGTTGAACATCGGGAGGGGCTCCTTGGGTCGTTTTGATGGGTATGGAGGCAGCTTGCGCCAAAGTTAAAGGTGTGATGACTGACTGGTGTGCTCACAGGTGAGAGATAATGAGCGTGAGTCAGGACTGGTGACTCTGGTGTGGCGGGTGCAAACTGTTTAGGTACTTGATGTTGGTAGTATTGCTGCGTTTGGTATTACCGCTGGTGCTGCTGGTGCTGGTGCGGATAAAGAGGTTGATAGTATTGCGGCTACTGCTGGTACTGGTGCTGCTGTTGCAGCTGTCGTGGTTGCTATTGAGCAAAAGGGTTTTTTTGAAAGAGCTCGTCGGGGGAACTCGGTAGCCCGCCTGGTTCTGCGCGTCGAGGACGTATTTGCAGAGAACCCTCCGGTTGCGAAGAAAGTGAAAGAGATGGAATAGCACTTGGAACACCGCTGCGCAGAATTGGCGAAGGGGTCTCGGGTAGAATGGGGTCCATGATTGCAAGAATGGAAGGGTCGGATGAGCGAAGGGGCAAAGTGGGGAAGGGTTGACTTGCATGAGGACTGGCGAGAAACAGTTCTTCGATTCTGGTCCTTCAGGTTACACGATCCTGCTCGAATATACCCCTTAAATATGGATCGCCCAGGAATCGGTGCGAGAATCGACACCGATCCTTGCGGTTTTTGAGAAGCGACCCAGAATTTTATACGCATGTCGGCAAAAATGATAGGGGTGTGTAACATTTCGATTGATTGAGCGATCTATTTCTTTGTGAAGCCCGACTCCCTGCTGGATCAATTCCTCCGCAACAATGGCGCATTCCGACAACGAAACCCTCTTCAGTCGCTTGAATGTCCTCAAGAGCTCCAGTACTTCAGGCGAAGACACAGGCCTAGGGGGGTAGAAGTAGTCTGTTATCTCAATGCCCTCCAGCGACTTGCGAAGGGCTTCTTGTCTGAGAATTATGGCTAGGAAATTATTGTGCAACGGTAAAATTTCCACGACCTCGAGCCGCTTCATTCTTGGGAACGCTGTGAACAGGCATTCGAGTGCATTGAGATTAATCTCTGTCCGGTAGATCAGAAGCTGATTGAGATGTGGACAGCTTGATCGCAGATCTCGGCAGAACTGCTCCACCTGAGGCAATATATGAAAGTTCAGATAGTTATACCCCGAGAACGGAAGAAGTTCGAGCAGAGAAGCGTGTTGAACAATCCTGTGGAGACCCTCAAATTTATCTTGACAGTTACAAATAAACAACGAACGTAACTGGCACTGTGGGTATTGTCCAAATGTGTCTCTTATGGAAGCCTCTGACTTTGTTGCTGCGGTTGACATTACATGAAACGTCTTCAGCCAAGGCAATTGCTCTAGTAGATAAGTGAGCGCTCCAAGAGGTGGCGTGGAGTGGACTAGGGATAAATCCTTCAACATATCCATCTCCGCAATGGCCCTGATTATCTCCATCATTAGTGGTGTGTCGCCAACCATATTAGCGCAGCTCAGAGTGAGCTTTTCGATATTTGAATTGAGTTGGAGAATCTGTTTAGCGGCCAAATAACTACTGCGGTCGAGCGAATAGACTCCGAACAGCGTTAGTCCTGTGAAGCAAAGACCCAGCGAGCCGAATTCGAATGTTTTGGAGCATCGGGGCTCGCGGACGAAGCGCAAATAGCGCGGAAGAGCTCTGCGGAAGGCACGATGGGACCCTTGATCAAGCTCAATCGAGCGCCATAGCTCACTTGCAAAGAGTACAAGCCAATGGTGAGAGACACGACAGGCACTGGCAAGGTCGGCTGGCTCCAGGTGTCTGGTGATGTGAAGGTCGATCTCTGGGATATCAAAGATGGAGTTGGTCATCATTTGGTTCTTTGGAGGCGATAAGGTTGGCGAATGAGAAAGGGATTGCAGTGCCAGGGATACAAGTAGAGCTTGTCTTGTGCACAGCCTCGTGTCTGTGCCTGAGACAGACACTCGACAGCTTCGGCGGAGACCGTCGACGTTGGATGAGGATGATGGATGATGGATGACAGGAAGAAGGAGGACTGTCATCATGGACTGGAGTGGAGGCCTTGCGTCTGCATGGATTACGCCTGAGAGCATCAGTACAGGAAATGTGAATGCTACTCGCTTCTGCTCGATCCCTTGCTGTTATCGATTAAGGTCGATGCATTGGACCATGGGTTTCTAGAGAGAGGCATGAGAGCGTCGAGGTCATTAGTGCGCGTCATTTCCTGGGAAGACGAACGTCCACTAATGTTTGTGTTCGCAACATTACGGAGATGGATCGTCCTGGGTGTGGGTTCGGCTTCTAAAGAGACCGGGGTGATCATGTCATGGATGCGAATATAGCCTTGGTTCGGCATGATGAAGCCGGGGTTCTTGGATAATGGGGGAGCGAGGATATTGAGACGGGGAACTTGATGGAAGAGCTTTTCTGACAGTGCTGCTAATACTTGTTTGCGGTGTTGATCTGTTTTACTGGTTCTTGTCGATGGGGAACAAGAAAAGCGGCCAACTACCCCTCCTTTTATAGTTTTCTAAGTGGGTCTACGCAACTGCAAATAAGAATCGTGTTGAACTCAAAATAAGGTGTGTCGATGCGTCATTGTGCATAAGGGCCAGTGCTTTGCTGACAAACTACGCATGAGACGACCTCGGTCGTGAAGAAACCAGAATATAAGCAGGGCAGAATATAGGCTTCAAGAATGTCAACACATCCGTCAAGTGTGTAGTTGAGCTTCCTTTGCTCTCCATGGTACAGATATACTCCAGCGACTCACCCCCATTTTGATGGACCCCATGCGTGAGATGCTCAATGCCTGGTTTGGATTGCAGGACTCGTTTGATATTAATATAGGCCTTGTTGACCAGCTCTGGAGCATTGAACAGCGTGAATCGAACGTATTGGAGGACCAAAGCGTTCAAGCCGGCGTACACATGGTGGCCCAGTACGGGGATAAAGATGGAATAGTGTGGGAGTGCCTCATGAATGGCCGGATGGATCAAGTCACCCTAGTAAATTGACCGCCATAACTCGCTTGCGAGGGATATTAGCTAATTGCACCAGACACAACATGGCAAGTTCAGCTTGGGAAAGGTATGTTGCGGTGAGAGGGGTGATCTCGGGAATGTCAGTGATAAAGAAGATCATGATGCAGATGAATACGGTGGTGAATGAAGAGAGAGAGCTGTGGTTCTCAGCGTTGTGGTGTTATTGAAAAACCTTTGGTGCAGTTGTGTTGCTCCCCATACGAGCATGCTAGTCTACCAGCCCTGCGCACACCTCCTACTATGTTCTCCATGGCTGGCCTCTGAGCTATTAGCGTCTCTTGCCACCAAGCAACATGCCAATGGCATGCCTGTGCCTGAAATGACGCTTTGATTCGTCGCTGAACTAATCACATCCAGATAGATAGTGCCCTTCTTTATTTCTTGCGGCAATATAATTAAGAGGATCAATATATTCAGTGTTTGAGGTCCAAAGGTGTGAGAGTCATAATCCCGACACGTTGTATCTTGGGCCAATGCTCCACCATCCATTCCACCTCCCTTTGAGCGGTCGTCTCCTTTACTTTTGATGTGTCTGCGTACACCGATCCTCGCAGTTCTCGCAGCTCCCTCAGTCCCGCCAGACATGACAGGTACCCCTGATTCCCTTGTCCGTTGTCTTGAAGGCTCAGCATTCGAGGAAACGAAATTTTGTAGAAATAGGTGGCCCGGCCTATATTGCCGCCGTTGACACTGTCTCCGATTTTCAGGTCTAGCGCTTTGAGTCTAGTGAGACATCCGATCTGAATGTAAAAGGCCTCGAATTGCCTCCACCATAGCTCTGCCCTCGAATCCTTTGTCACATCGAACCTGTTAGTAAAACCGATCCGTCGCTGACCAATATCAACCAGCATTTCTAGGTGTTGGATCCGTTCGCAAGCCCATTTGAGCGTGATGGCGTCCTCCAAAGTGATGGCACATTTGTTTCTGGGGTCGACCGTTATGATCGCAAGGTGCTTCAGTGCTTCACAGGTGCTGAGAATCGCAACGATGGTGTTACTTCTGAGAGCCTTTGGGCATGTGAACAAAATGGTTCCAGTGTAATCGAATGCCGCCGTAGAACTGGTGCCATTTGGTTGAGTGCACTATCTGCGTACGAATAGATGCTAACGGACTCAAGGTGTTGCGGGCCTATCTCCCCCATGATCCTGATAGCACTTTCAAATCTCCAACTCTCTCGTGTGCCGTCTATTGACAGATCCCGGAGTCTTGGGCAGTGCTTCCGGATTGTGTTTGCAATAGGCCCACCCTGGCCCATATTGCTAAGGCATGGAATAGACCATGCTTCGAGCATAGGGCACTGCTCGAGGATGGCGCACAGGACTTGGGCAGGGTACCCAGTTTTGCTAACGGGTAAGTGCATCCTCTTCAAGTTTCGAAGCGGCTCCTGCTTCACAATCGATGGTCCGCCCTTAAATGGCTGGTCGACGATTGTAAAGCCGAGCTTGATACACTCAACGGACGGTGGACAGCTGTTCAGAATCTCTTGGAGGGCTTGTAGCGAGACTTCGTTGCTAAATACCTTCGCTAGATCAGGTATTTTAGTTGACTAAGCCCTGAAAGAGTTTGTTTAAGAGTCCTGAGCACCATGAGATCCTGAACGTTTAAACCAGAGATATCCAGATGTCCCAAGTGTGGGTTCGCAGCCGCGAGCCCCAGGGTCAGGGCATAGAGCGGAAAGAAGACGTAATATTTAACGCTTCCTCCAGTATACATATGGCATTCGAGTCGCGTAAGTCGCGTGGTTTGTGCTCTGGGGACGTCCGATGCTAACATGGAGGTCCCATTGTTATCGTCGAGGAGAAGTGATTTTCCGGTGGTGTGATCCCAGAGGCCACAGTATAGGCGGTATATATCATCAGCCCAGATATGTCGAACATGGTGTACGTTCCGGGACATTGCCTTCAGGCCCTCTCGAGACTCAAAAAGACGAGAGAACTTGGCGCTGCTTCGAAGGTCTAGCGTCTCGTAGAACAGCGGCGCGCAGGATTTGTGCAATTGGCGATTCGTATGTAAAAGGTGGAGAATATCTTGCAGACTTAGGTACTGGGACATCAGGTACACCAGCTCCGGTATCACGAAGAACTTGTTGGCGGGCATGATTGTAGACGGATGAGGATATGAAATGAAGAAGAGAGTTGAGGGAGTGGTGAAGATGAAGAGGGGGGCCAAAATCCAAACTGGCTATTTATATCGCTGGCTAGATATCGCTAAAAAGAATGGCCGGCAGCGAGATTCGGTTCCAAGACCAGGATGCCGTGGGGGCAGCCCACATTTGACACTATGCAATTTGCAGGCCATGCTTACCTGTTTGCTCGCGACTGGCATCACTAGTCAATATATATGTGAATTTCGCGACATTTACTTACTTTCGTTATATTTCTTTTTTTTGTGGTTTTTGTTGTTCTTTCTATGTAGTTCTCGTTATTTTTCGCTTGTATTATTTTTTTTCTCGCACGTGCAAGTAAAAAAACAGAAAACGAGGGTGACTATCTCTCGAAATCTGCGCCATGTGCCATACTAGGACTACTTGAAACAACGAGAACGTTATCCACATAAACCTGGAGCTCAGGGAGAGCGCGGACAAAATTCGTTAGCAAATATGAGGGGCATGGGCGCGCAGCGTTCAAACAACCTTGTATATAAAGCCTCTCAAGTCATTCCTCTTTCCTGGCGGCCACATCTGGATATTTGAATTGAGGAAATATTTACAGTTGCCTTTTTTTTTATTGCAGAAAAAAAATAAAGCATTGCTTGATGACGATGAGTTATGAGTTATGATGCTATTTTTCCTATGTTCAAATTGCTCGCTGTAAATCACAACTAGCGCAAGAGAATGCTTCCAGCGGTTTTTCGGTCTTTAAACATGCTGGTACGAAGGCTGAGCCTGGTAATGAGGACGATGCGTCTTAGGGACCCAAGAACCACGGTGCTTGTAATACTGGAAGCACGCACCAATCACAAACATCGCCAACGTGCCTGCGAGCATTCCATAGATTTTGCCCGAGACCGTGTACCCATTGCCATTGACGAATCCCGTCTGCTTGCCCGACAAGAACTGGATGAATGCATCAGAGAATCCTGTATGCACAAAGTTATCGAGTCCGACAAAGAACGATCCCGAACCCACGAGGGCCGTGCCCAGAATGACTACATGGCGCTCCACAAAGAACGTTAACACGATACCGATGATCACGAACGCAATGATGAAGATCGTCCGGCCGACTCCGCTCGAGATCACACCGTTCGAGGCCCAGGAGAGAATAAAGATCGCAAGGTAGAATCCAGCAATCGCGCCCAATGCTGCGAATCCAAGACGCCAGAAGCACAAGAAGAGACCACCACCCAAGAGACCAGCCGCGGCAGAGACACCCAAGTAGATCCACTGTGAGTTCGTGCCATATCCACTCGAGGGCTCAAAGTTCTTGAGTGCAATCCATGCCAAGGTGCCTAGATTGATGAAACAAAAGAACGTGTGTTTAGTACCAGGATGGAATACATAAATTTACCGAGGTAGCGAAGCAGACCAAACATCGAAAAAAAAATCGAGTCGACTCCAGTATGCACACTGCCACATTGCAAAGTGGGCCAGATTCACTTACTGCAGACATAGAATCCTGAGAGGAAGAGAGTGATCTTGAAGAACTTGTGGCCAAAGAACGCAAACAAGAAGCCAGCGACCATCAAGACGATTGCGACAATCGTTCCGCTGATTGTGATACGGGTCACGTCTATGGTGTGAAGTTCAGGAGGAAAAGAAAAGAGAAAAGAGCTTTGTTAATATACTGATGCTTCGTAAAATGATGAAGACCTGTTATTCTACCAAAAGGGTAGTGGTGGAGGGAGTTACAGTTTGACAGCCCGACAGTCCAGCAATGCAAGACAAAAAGGCAGAAAAAATAAAGGCAGACTGTAGGTGTCGCATGGTATTGGATTTTGTTCTCTGCTGCTGAAGAGGGGTGTGCAACCACTAAAGACGCTAAAAAGAGAAGTAGGGGTACATGGACAAGCTACTGATACGTGGGAGCGCGAGCAGGGGCATGAAAGGAGGAGGCAGAGAGAATAGAAGGGCAGGAGAGAAGGAGAGCCGTATGCTTACCACCAGGTTTTCCTCCAACGTCTGGCAAATCTGCTGATACGGGTCCTTGAGCAAGGACCGTGGATATGAAGAGGCAGAGGAGGGCCAGGAGGGCCATTGACCGTGCCTGTAATGAGGCCATTATGTGTGCTGTTATTGGTAGGGTGTGGGTGAAGATAGAATAGAAGTGAAGAGCGCTGTGGAAAAAGGATGAGAACGCAGGTGATGGCAGATGAAATGGGATGAAAAGGGAGATGAGAAAGGTGTTATCGAGCGTATGAAAAAGTGCGAAAAAAAAATAAATAAATAAAGGTGTCCCCGAGTGTTGTTCCCTCTCTTTTTATACTCACGCACGCCTTGTGTGTCTCCAACAGCCCATCTATTCTTGTCAATGGCGCAGGGCCTAAACCAGCATATGAACTTAGACCCACATATCTCTCCCTCATTTCCCTTGGGCGTACACATCCTTTTCGACGATCTCCCTTTCCTTTCTCCCCTCTCCCCCCTCAATTCACTCTCTCGTTACCTGTCTCTGTGAGCAGCAGCATAGCTCTCTTGGCCGGACGGAGACATAGGGGCACTGGTCTGGTCCCCGCTTTTCTCAATTACAATTTATATAACGAAATGAAATAATTTCGCCATATCACACACAACATAAACTACCCGCGTTAGCGTTGTTCCTTGTTCCTGGGCACACCAACCCCTTCTTCTCCTTCTATTCCTTCTCCTCCTTCTCCACTACAGCCACAACCTTACTTTTCACTTTCTGGACCCTGCAATAAATGGTCGGCATGCGTACATACATAAAATTGCCAAGGAAACCACCTCGCTAGGGTACATTCGTATGATTTCCCAACCCTTTCTGCTTCACTATGCTTCAAGTCTAAGCTACCTACAAACACACAATCGGCTTCCTGCTTCCTTTTCGTAGCCCTGGACAACAAAGAGCGAGCAAGAGAGACAAAATACGGTGCTCTCCGTGTTGTTTATGTTGTGTGTGTCACAGTGTTACCGGGGGTGAAATTAAGCACCTCACTTTTTTTATGCTACGGCGCCGAAATCTGTCTTACTTCGTCAACTATCCATATGCCAGCACCGATTGCCTATCTGGCTGTTGAATGAGAAGTTGTCGAGAGAAGTAGGTACCCGTTCTTATTCTGTACATGTCGACATGTCCACGAATGAACATTAAAGCTCCATGAACGATTCTCGAAGGGATGGTATTTAACCAATGTGTGCCGCGTGGCTCTATTTTGCTTTTGGAGAATAGCCCCTGGGCTGTGTCGACTATTTTTAGACCCTGCCATGCTTTGTTTACGTTTTGTTCCATTCGCGCTTGGTCATGATCATGCACGATGCTCAATGTAGGCACCATAACATAGATAGTTTACGTAGAAAATCGAGAGTTACACTTGAGTGCAAGAATAGATTAGAACCGATAGTTATTCCCATCAAAGAGATAAAAATGAGCAGATGGATAATTATCTCGCGTGAGCAGCTGAAGGACATCAGGTACCAGGCACCGCCAGGCTGCGGTTTCTCATGTCCACATGGCCCGGTTTTCTATTCCTGGCAAAAACGGCATTGAAAATGACGCATATGCGCCAAATTGAGAGCCGAAGCGGTAATTACTCGACTATATTCATCGAGTTTGCTTTATTGAAGGGCTATCACAAAAGATCAAAACTTGTCATGAGAAATCACAAACAGGGCTCAAATGTATAGAATAAGGCATCCGGTAATCTCCTCCTAGGCTAACACGGTGCCACTAGAGCCTAAAGATTCTTCTAATTATCGTGCATACGGATCCAGCCAAGGCATCGCTTGCCACAGCACGAGTTGTTCCAGTACCGGATTTCAGTCTTCGGACGCCGGCCCATTTTTCCATGTCCCATCAACTGGTTAAGTGCAAAGTCCTGCTGGCTTGAACTGTCCTCGATCTCACTATCCTCTTCCCAGGGCCTCTTGCTTTCGCTGACAGTGATGGGTCTAGGTCGATCGTCGTCGCACTCCACCTTTCTACCCTTGCCCTTCCTGTCCTTTTTTTCTGGACGAGCTACTTCCTCGCATCCCTCAGTGTCTGCAGTCCTGAAGTTATTGGCCATGCTAGTAGAAGCGCTGAATGTAAATGAGCTTGCCATCTTTCCAATCCTCTGCCTTTTGCTTCTATACCCTTCATGCTTAGCTATACCGTCCTCATTATCAATGTCTGCAACCGAGTCATTTGAAATGCCGGCCTCCTTTCCTCGTACACCTCGCTTAGCAGCAGATGACGTCGACTCTGAAAGCCCCAGGTTGCCTTTCCACATCGCGCGACAGGACCGGTAGTGCTGGTAGTTGACCTCTACATCTAACCTCTCCAGAACGCTCATACCTCTGATGGCTTCTCGCAGCATGACCGGTGTCACATCGTACTGCTCTGCCGTAGCAGCATCCACAAACTGTCGCAAGGCCGCTCGCGCACTGTTGACACCCTGATGATAAAGCGCTCGCTGTATTCGTCTAGAAATAGGACCTTCCGGGACATAAAAACTCGCCTCCGAGTCATCCGAGTCGTCTGAATCATAATCATCAGAAGAGATTGCTGTAAAATCCCGCCCCTCCTCGTCACTAGATTCATCCACATAGATGATAGGCGAGTACAGTTGGGATGTGGAGAATCCTCCTTGCTTTGGTCTCTGGGGACACAACAGTCGAACCTTCCAGGTCTTGAGTGTCTTCTGAACACGATCCTTCATCAGAGTCATTGCGTCGGCATCCGGGATCTGGAAGCTGCTTATCGTAAGGTGTTCAAGTTGACGCGGAACCTTCTTCAGCATCTTGTTGATATATGCCTAGTGATTGATAGAACGGTCGCTGATATGAATACCATCCCCGTAATTTCAATCCCTGCTTCAAACCTCAAAATTCATTTTCTTGCCTACTTACCATCCACATAGTGACCTTTTCTGTGGGGCTTTCCTGCATCTCACACGACACATGATAGGGCGCTCCGCGTACCTCAAGCGTTGTCAGACTCGATGGAAACCACTGCTTGTCTTCCTCGAACTTGACTGGTGACTCATCCACTATGATCTCGTTTGGCTCGAGAGGGTAAGACATGATCAGCTCCTCCAGTCGAGAAGGCACGTCAAAGCGCCCATCGGTGACTACAGACTTGGAAAGATCGAGCCGTGTCAGGTTTTCGGGCCACCATGAGCGCAATTCACTCCCTGAAAGTTCAAATCCGCACCAGTCATTCATCTGACAAGATGCGATATTGGCAGTATCCGAGACCGCCCCAGCTTTCCATAAACTAAGAGAGAATTTTGCATTGTCTGTGCGGCCAAATCCATGGTGGTCGGGCTCAAAGGTGTCAAGTCGTATATGCTGGAACCTTGGTTCGTCCATCTCAAACGTAAAATCTTGAATTTGAGAAGGCAGCTCCGGCATCAGCAAACTACGTCGATATGTTTTTGTTGTGACTCGACGATGATAGAGCTCGCATGAGGAGCAATAGCGGAACAGATCTCGCCAGGCAGGTTGGATAGGGTCGCAGGGGTAGATATAGATGACATGACGGAGATGCTCCAATGAACTCAGCGCAATTGTGAAACTCTCGTCCGTGAACATAATATCGGAACATATTGTCAGCGACGTCAGGTTGGCCAAATGCCAAAATCCTGTCATAAGAGTGCCACCCGTCACTATCGGAGACATTAGTAAAAAGGTGCATTAAAACTGTCAGAAGCCGCTCGCGACATAAGATCCACATTACGTGGTCTAGAAGACCCTATAGGACGTTGTCTTACCTCTTGGGCATCGGCTGATTTTCAGGGTCTTCAAAGTCTTTGGAAGCGAAAGCAGCCTATACGTTGTACCGACACTCAAGAATGCTTAGTGTCCTTGATGATGCCACCAATGCTGTTAGTCGCATAATAGATATGGAATTTGAATTCGCTTACCCATTTATTCCGAAATCGGCTGATCGAGAGATCGAAAACGAGGTCAGACCTTGTGGAACTGCAGCTCGGAGCCAGTGGTCAAGCATGGATCCATGTTCTCTCTCGTTCATGCGGTAGTGTGGCGTGCTTGAAAGACAGTCGATGGCCCCTCCGCCCGGTCGCGGGTTGATTCCTGAATAGCTGGCAGAAATCACGACCTCCTCTTTGGGATCCATCGAGCGACTCATATTTCCTTCAACACAGAGCGAGCTGATGAAAGGTGGGCAGGTCCAGGGATTCATTTTGAGCTCTGCGTGCTGGCTGCTTGTTCCAGCTCCAGTGCCGTCGGCCGAAATTGGTTGCTTCGGAACCGCGCAGTAGAATCCTTGGATTGGAATATGATTTTGCTTAGCTATGCGTCGGCGTTCGCGCTGTTCTTGAATGATGTGCCGAAATAATCGCGGATGGCGATCAGACTGTATGCCGTGGGATGCTGCTAGCCCTCTGCTAAAGTTCAATCTCAGTCGCGAGCCGCTGTCTGTCGCAGAATATGGGAAGGTCCAATCTACGGTCGAACGCGAATGAGATGAAGGTGTCGATGATGAAGGCGCGTCTGATCTAGCGAGTGAGTTGGCTGCTGATGCCTCCCTGAGTCGGGCCGATCGCCTTAGTGTGCGACTACTTCCTCCTGCTGTGGCCCTCCGAGTTGGATTGTTGCTGTTCGAGTTACCGCTGCTTTCAGGCGCACCGCTTCTTTGGTAGCTAGAGCTTTGAGCAGTTGATGCTGATCGATGTTGAGTGGTAGTGTCCTTGACAAACGATGCTGACTTGTTATTTGCGGCGACAGAATCCAACAGGGTCTTCATGGACTCGTCGGCACTAAGCTTGATGTTCATTTCCCTGGCCATGGCTAGGATGGTCTGGTTCCAAGAGCGACATACTAGGCGGAGCAGTGACCGATTCGGATCTAAATACCAGTACTGCAGTGAGTTGCCTGCTTTGGGGCCATCCCCGTCGTCGCTCGCCGAGAGTCTGTCCTCGCCGGGTTCAACAACATACTCGAGGACGGTGCATAATATCTCTGTCGGCAGTTGTTCAAACATGTTTACTTCGCTCCTCGCGCTGATGTTGTGGTGGAATGCATGAGTGATGTCCATGGTAGCGTTGAAAGAGTCAGAGGGCTTCATGCGTGGAGTGAGTGCGGAGAATGAGCGAGCAGAGAAGGAGTGTGAGGTTTTGGGAGGGGACTGTTAAACCGGCAGAGTCTGATGAAGATTACTGACTGGCCGAACTCGCTGCGCCAAACCTTATTCTCTGTCCCATCACACTAAGTGGCATGGGAAGGACATGTTGCCACGCGTAGAGCACGTTCCTCCAGCAGCAAATCGGGTGAAATAAAGCACTCGTCTTTGGGAAAGCAGCAACGGTGGCCTAAAATCGCCTGGAAAGCCGTGTAGGCTGGCGAAAAACACTACTATAAGGAGCAATTGCTTCGCCCACATAACCGTGCTCAGGAAAAGAAACGAGACTCATGGATCCAGTAAAATCCTCAGCATCTGCGCGTGTAGTGGCTAATTCATTAATACTAATACAGCCATGAGAAAAAGCAATCGAGTGTCGAGTGTTAGGGATAGAAAAGGATGGAGAAGCAGCGCGCTCGGCAAATATTTGGTTCACGTATACTTCGGCTTTAAAGTGTGGCAGCACTTCAAGATTACAGGAGCCCACACTATCATCAGTGCTATTCCTTTGGAGGATATTGCTAGACGCATGTAGGCCTACGATCGAATCCGACATCTGGATATTTTAATTGACATATCACCTCCACAGTATCAACTATGGACCCGATGGTTATGAACCATTGAAAGCGGCTCGAAAGATCTAGAGTGCTAGGCTCGAATGTCAGCGACAGCTTTGAAGGGTCGTGGACGTGAGGTCGCTTGATGCGATATAGTCCCAGCTCCTTGACTGTCGAATCTCTAAGACGGCGGGGAAGGGAAGACGGCTCCGGTCATGCCCAGCAGGATTGAGCGACCTGGAAGAGCTACGAGGATCGGTGTACGTAGATGCGTCGAAACGGAGGAGTGGATAGTGGAACACTGGGTAAAGGTGAAACGGATTTGGCTCCTTTGCGGCGATTATGAGAGAATACCTCACATCGAGATACCGGAACATCTGCAGTGGTTGCTACTAGAGCAACCTGGTATAAAACTGACCGATTGATCGTTTCAATATACCCAACAGAATGGGAAAAAGAGTATTGGTGAGAGGAGTTTTTGTCGATTGTCGAGTCTCTTTCTGTTTGTAGGTGCTTAGCCCAGCGGATGGACAATTGGGTTGTTTCAGGGCACGGGCAGATCCATGACGCGTAGTTCAGGGACCAGTCAACGAGGGATCAAAAGCACTGTTCGCAACCATACGCACACCAATCTCGTTGCCTCATTCCTGAACATCACCATCATCTCATCAAGTACACAATGGCCGACACCATCTTTGACATCCCCGAGATCTGTCTTCTCATCGCTAAACACTTATCCAAAAATGACCTTGCCAGTGCCTGCCGCGTCCGCCGTAGTTGGTTCGCCCCCTTCGCAAGCGAACTCTGGCGCTCGATTGACCCTGACCAATGGACCAATCACACCTTTCGCAGTGCTTTCCCACGGTATTCAGCCTTTATCCGCGAGCTACGGTGTGGCAGCCTTGTCCCACTCGACGTACTCGGTCTTCACTGCACTCAACTGACGCTCCTCCATGTCCCAGGGCTCCTCAGTTACCCTGTCCTCGAACGAGCCCTACAGTCCAATCCACGCATTGAAGAACTCCGACTGCGTGCTGTCGTAACAAAGGAAGATGTGCAGGGTATCGTGGAAATATTCAGGACGATGGTGGGGATGAAAATGCTAAAGACGTTGTCCTTTACCCATTTCAAAATGCCCTCAGAAGCACTGGAGTATCTGCTAGACCATCTATCAGGGTTACAATCGCTGGAAATCGACGGATGGGAGTGCAAGGCATCCCCGGGTCTACTGTTGGATCCTATTACAGGGCTGCTGGCGCCGACCGAAGCAGCCCTGGAAGCGGTGGCAACAAGAAGTGGTAGAAGCCTACAGCCTTCGGAGCGACAATAAGATCTGCAGCAGCAGAGTAAGCTACGCTCACTCCACTTGGATGGGGCTCAGGATGGATATGGGTCCATCCTCAGAATCACCCGGCGCTCTCCTCTACTCGAATGTCTCTCGCTCTCCCAGACGCTCATGGATGACTTGGACCTCCGCATGTCGCCTGGAATGGAGCAGTTTTGTCAGAAACTGCAATCTCACTGCTTCCATCTTGAGCAGCTTCGGCTCTTTCGGAATGCCATCGACACCGAGGGCCTTGAATGTTTTCTCTCAGCGTTTCCGAGGATGAGACGATTAGGGATCACGGAGGTTGAGCTATCACATTGCAGAATTCTGACCACGATTGTTAGGCACGAGGCGTTCTGGGAAACACTCGAGGATCTCCAGATAACAAATTGTGGCAGCCACCCGTCCGAGACTTGCTTGGCCGCACTTCTGGCGCTCTTGAGGCGGTGCAAGGTACTGAAAAGGATCTCGATACCGAGGTGTGTAATAGACGCGGAGGAGAGAATTCGACAGGAAGACGAGTTTTATGGGGCTTTTGCATGTCGAGGATTAGAGGTAGTTGAGATGACGTTCCTTGAACCCTGCGGCAGCTTGGTGTTTCCGGATGCGTATAAGGCTGGACATATTCCGTCAGCGCTGATGCGACCCAGGGCAAGGAAATATGCGATGTACAATGCAGTGCTGGAGCAGCTCAAATCTTTACCAAAGCTCGACAGGACCAAGATACGTTTCAAAGACAGAACAATGAATGGAACGCTATATTATAATAAAGAATAAATTATTAGGATTGCCTGATGATGTAGGTACAGTGGTGTGCTGGGTATATCTAAATTGATAATATTATGTTCTGTTTAAATTGCCTCTTACCTCTAGTCCCATCATCACAACTGAGGCCTTCTTTTGCGCAGTGACTCCAGGTGGATCAGGGTAAGCGTATACTTAAGTACCGAGGCGCAATGAAACAAAGAGGGGGTGGACGAGGAAACTTGCGGAGATGTGAAGGAGAACAGAAGCGGCCCAAAAAAGAAGGGTTGACGAGTTCAAGATAGGATTCGAGAACGGAACGAGAAGAACGAGACAGGGACGGCGGTAGATGTGAAGGTTGTCAAGTAAGGCAACGGGGCGAGAACGACGAACAATTCAGAGAATACTCAGTTCAAGCTTGAGGGGATGGCTGCGACGCGTTTCCGAAATGTTGCCATAGAGGGACGCACACATCCATAAGCAAGGAAAGAAAAAAAAAGAAAAAAAAAAAAAAAAGGACTAGCTATGCGCAGATACCATAATGACAAGATGGTTCAGCAGAAGGGCTATTTAGGGTGAGAGTGGAGGTGGAGTGGAGATGAGAGAGAGGCACCAATTTGGAAGTGGGAAGGGGACGAGGAGGCTTTGAAGTCCTATCACGGCCGCCATCTCCCCTTCAGCGAGACCCATGCCATGCTTTTGGGGAGGAAGAGTACTGGCTTGTAGCCGCCAAGCGTTCGTGAAGCAGGCATCGTCACTCTCTTTGTTGCAAGTGTTCGAGGCATTCACAGAGAAGGTGCCACAGGAAGCGATGACCACGAGGCACTTCAAGCTCAGGTACGCGAAGACAAACAGCAGGCCAGGGTTCCTGTGCAATGACATGTTCGGAGACATCACAGAACATTTCGGCGTTATCTTGGCTGTATCAGTATGGCATGAACGATATCCCGAATGACATTAATATGGCATGCTGTGTACAGTACTGGTAAGGCACTTCATGTTGATATCTACGATGCAAGCTTGGCCATGGATGTGCGGAATTTGCGGCAAAAAATCACAATAGACAGATTCCCTCGCGACCAGGACGCGTGTTTATTTTTCGGGCTGTGCAGTCCACTCCCGGATTAGCCAACAAAACGTCGCTTAATCCGAATTTCATATACTTTTTATGAGTGCTATCCCGTCCCTGTCTTGATCCCCATCCCCATCCCGAAGTTAGGGCAAAGTCCTTGGCGACGGCCAAGGCCATGGCGACAACGACCGAAGCTATGGTGAACGTAACTTCAGCAGCTGAAGCATATACTAAGAAGAAACAGTACAGAGTTATTTCGTTGGCCTTGAAGGCAGACTTCATCAAGGATTTACGCGCCGAACAACAACAGACAGGGTATCCATCCTGCTATGCTGCAATGCTGATGGGTCGGACAAGCGGATGCCATTTGTGCTGTGTAAGGCGAGTTTGCTTTGGAAAGCGTGCGTTTATCTTCTCAACTTGTAGCCATACACGATCCTTATTTCGCTTTTTTTTTTTTTTTTTTTTTTGGACACGGAGGCAAGACTTAAACCTCGTTCCAAGGGCAGTAGATACATGACACAGGTCTTATTCAAGGAATGGCTTCAGGAACTCAATACTGCTATGGAAAAGCGACATATTGCTTTGATGATGGACAATGGCAACACCGACGAACTTGGTCTCAAGGATATTGATTTTATTCGACTACCCCAACATCAGTCGCTCAGCCTTTGGATGCAGGGACCATCCCATCGTTCAAAGTGAAATATAGCCGGCATGTGATTCGCGTCGTTTCTACAGTAGGTGTCGAGAAGTGGCAATCTCTGGCAAAGCCAGGATCCCTAACGACCAGCTGTGGCCATATCTTGCTTCCGCCTAGGACGATGTGGCACAGACGACCATCCGCAACTGCTTCGTCCATGTCCCTACTGTGCCTGCAGCAATACAGGACCTCCTAAGAACGGCCGACAAGGATGTGAGGGATCATGGGCTGGAACAGCTCAAGTAAGAATTAATGAAATTGTACCCAGGTCGCGCAGTAGTCATCAGATGGCAAAATGACTTTGGTGTGCTCGCCTACCTCAAGTGTTGCGAGGGTAATGGCCCTACAAAATAGACCATGGATAGTGTAGAGGCTGTATCAGCCAGGGATAAGCACAAGAGTTTTTTCCTGCCGGCTAAGAGTGTCGTTCTGGTGGACGAGGACGAGGAAGATGAGGATGATGAGGTTTCCAACACAGTTTATTCTCTACAGAACAATGATGATGGTAGTAAGCACAACGATGTCGAGCTGTGTTTCTCGGCGTACCATGGAGCGTCAGTCTGATCGATACGAGCTTCAGCTGCTGCTAGTCAAGAACTCTTCTCAAGTTTCCAGCATTCTAGAGGAAGAAGCGCATAAGGAGGTGGAGGAGGGTCTGCTGGACGTGTTGGACAGGTGCTGCGCTATGCTTCTTGATGGGGAGATGCCTGCACAGTATCCTGATCTCCGTGTTGCCACATTCATGAGGGACGGACTTCAGCTAACGGTGGACCTGATGGCACTTAACAAGGGGTGGAGGAGCAAGATACCATTGATACCGTTGGCACCAGTACCAGTGATGCTATTGAACTGTCTGACAGCGAGTACGAGTCAGAAGGGCGACAATAAAAATTTATTGGCAGACTCTGACAGAATACGAAATTGGGATTAAGCGACGCTTTGTCGGCTAATCCGGGAGTGGACGTAGTAAATTTGTCTGGGATTCATGCAGTACGTACATGTTGTCGGCTGCCTCAGACTTCTGCAGCTCTCACCTGCGCAATGCCTGAATTGCACCTTCCTGATATTTCTCGATGATACATGCCACGCACCGACCATCTAGGATCCACCAACATTATTCATCAGATGCGACCCACGCAGTTCAGCACAGGAAGTATGGGCGAGCAACAGCAGGTGGACACTTACTGTTTCACAGTCCTCATAATTAAGACTATGGCGGAGCCGGGCACGGCTTCCAGCCGTAAAACTTGCAACCCTCTGCATCAAATTCAATATTCTGCCGCTATAAACAATAATGACCACAATGTTAACATAGCGTCAATGGCACAGCAGTGCAGCAGTCTGCCGAATAATTCCAAATCAACACATAGACATACTTGCACTGTAGCGACCAATGGCTTCCTAAGGAGAAAACGTGAAAGTTTTCACGGCTGTGGTCGCCAAGAGTTCCCGCCAATGCTCATGAGACTGCGCATAGTCACTCAAGGACGGACATATCAAGACACACGAACAGGAGATCTACGCAAACTTTCCAGGCTGTGAATCGTTCTCAGGGCAATCGTCTATAAGGTCCATGCTGATTTTTACGTGAGAGGCCTAAAGGGACCATGTGTGACCGCAGCGCACCAGGGACGGCCACTCTTTCCATTGTATGTAGGCTTCTGTATCATCCTTCAATTATAGTCCTTCACTTCCAAACCGAGACATCCAGCGAGTCTTGACAGGATGGACGAACATCATGGACGTTAGCATGAGCCATAGCAATGGCGCAAAAAAAAACACTTACCAGTGAGGGTAGGCGGACAAAGTGTATGCCGTTTTCTGTGCATGATCAACACCATGGGTGACTAGCATAACGAGCCAACTCAGGCTAATGTTGAAGTGAGCTACAACTCAAATGCTCAACAGGATACAGATAATAAAATAAGAAAGCCAGCACAAGCACCACTTCAAGTAGGGCAGGCAAGCGGCACCGTGCTCCAGTACGGCAAGCCTGTTGGTAACCTTACCTCTGCCGCAGGTGCACGACCAACACCATGGGTGACTTTAGCATAACGAGTCAACCCAGGCTAATGTCGAAGTGAGCTACAACTCCGATGCGCTGGGAAATCGGAATCGCAACGCATCAGATGGCAGAGGCCCCAATGCTCGAGGCGTAATTAAATAACGAGGTCTGACACTGGTACGGTGCTGTTAATGAAATGTACATTGGTGTGTCAGTATGCATGAGGAGTAACAGTGAATAAATAGCGTTTCCGGGTAACAATTTAAGGGGCCCTATATAAGAGAAACTTCAAATACGTGGAGAAGGCGCGCCTTCTTTCTACTGCTGCTGCTGCTGTTGCAGGACTTTGCAAGTGCTTGTGTTCATCAGGCCTCTTCTGGCCCTGTAACTGCGCTTGGCATACGCGGGCTATCGCGACCGAACAGTACATGGTATCCGGGACAATAATTAGAAGGAAACGGTAGCTAGACCAGGAACTGGTTACAGTCCAGACGGGGACATTTTGCGCTTGTATAATACCCGTGTGCGCCCAGCATGACATATCCAAAGCTCTTTGCCTAGAGAGTGCGGACAAATACGGGTGCATACATTAGACATTCATCCTCTTTGGAACAGCAACACAAGACACGCATTATGACTTACTCTGATGACAAGTCGTTTTTTCAAGCGCTGAGTGCTTTGTGCTAGTCCAGTTTGAGTGTTGAACGAACCCAGGCTAAAGCAAAGAACTATGTTATCCTCAGCTGTCTTCTTCTGGTCCTCCGATCCACCTGCCATGCGCAAGATAGCCTTGACGAAGTAATCCAAACATGCAACCTGCGCTGTTTTTGCGCCCCATGTCTTTTTTCTCAACCGTTTGTGTCCATAAAAGCTGAGCAAATAGCCCAGAACATTAATTTCGCCGTTAATGTTGTTAAGGCTCAGAGAATTGCTGCTGCTGCTGCTGCTGCTGCTGCCGTCGTTACTGGTGGTGGTACTGGTACTGGACACGTTGGCACTGTAGCTGGAAGCTTGGCCGCTCGGGTTGGTCATGTATTTAATATAGCTGTAAAGTGTTTCCATACTGAAGCTTGGAATCCGGCTCTCCAGCTCATCCACCCTGCGTCTCGCTTCCTGTCCTGTAGTAGCGAGCGGAACTTTATGGCGGGTTCGTAAAGGAAGGATCTTCGTATAGTGACAACATGACGTTTGTCGGGATGGACAGGATCCAGTACGGAGGCCGTCAAACTATTTCGCTCCTCAAGATCCAGCCATATTATAACAGTATTGTCGGCTGGGAGACGATCTTCCAGATTATCGAAATACACCTCGATGTTGTCAACCAGCTCCAACACGTAGAGTCTAATTATTTCGCCCGTGCGTACATTTTTAAGGGCCAATCAAAATACAGCGCCAGCATATGCTCCAATAGAGGAGGATAAAGACGCTCGGTTCAGCAGTTCGCTCTTAATGAAGTACCTTAGAGCGTTGCAAACCAGCAGTGCACACTAACTGAAGTTGGCAGAGGAGACTTTTTCGCATTTTTTTTCTATGTGGGGCATGCCAGACAATAATAAAATAAAGGTGCGCCTTGTCCGAAATGATATAATAACGAAGAGTCCCTTGGTTACCTATCCTTGGAATCAAATTCTACTAACAGAGAATTTAGGTATGTATCTGAGGATTCTAACGAAGTTCTTTTTGTCAGAATCGGATCATGGGTTGCGGAAACAACACAATTGAAAGACGTCTGGCCTTGTGTAAACATAGACATAGTCATCGACGGCCATTGACAACCCTTATTTCTCGCGCTATACTATATATCTGACTATTTTATTAATATTCTTGTCATCTTCGTTTGCGGAAATGATCTTTTCTTAAAGGTAGTTCCTCAGCATACCCAACTAGCTTATGCAGTCTATCTAAAAATACTTCATCACAGTGTGATGCTCTAACGTATTTTTTGAGTGCCTCTACAGCAGCCAAAGCAGACAGATCTAAAGCATCTTGCTGTCGCTTCTTCTCTTGCTCCTTCATAGCGACCACTGCGTGCGCCTGATCCAGTAGAGGACCATCATACTCAATAGCAGGGAGTGCGAGATCTGGGCGCCTTGGAGCATATCGAATAGTGAGAGCTCCGTCATGTACTTTCTGTAGGCCATCAGAATATGCTTGCACACGTGCCGAAGCCGTAGAAAATAGGGACAACTGCAGCCAGTAACCATGTCCCGAGCGTCTGTAGACACGTTGTAAAATAGGCCAGGGTGGGTAAATGAGAGGACACGCAGTTCACCATCAAGGCGCTGAACACGATAATGAATCTCCTCCATCGTCATGGCCTGAACGTCGCGCTGGCGGAGGATATCCATGATCTGGCCTTTGGTCTTGCGGCCGACTTAAATATAGTTATGGAATTTCTCCTTTTGGAAGTACTCCACAACAGTATGGCTGAGTAGATACACCACACGATCTGCGCGGACTTTATGATGCCTTCGGAGGAATCCATCCTTGAGGTGGTTGTGCCAACTTTCCAAAGTTGTTTGTGTCCATGGATGCATAGTACGCATCGTCTCGATAGGCCTTCATCCACACCTTGAGGCGTTCTTCACTCTGGAAGTAGTTCTTGTTCAGGTAGGCAATAAACTCGGGATAGCCTGCCCAGCCTTGCCGCATTTCTTCAATCATCTCGTGAGCTCGAGCTTGATCTGACTCATACATGATGCTATGCAGAGTATTGCGGGCCTGCTTCCGTATGACATCGGACTCTTTTGGACTTGGTCCCTTGACGAGTGGGCGGATGCTCTTGCTCCATGCTCTGGCGACATGCCACGGACACAAATGTATTTTGACCGAATCTCCGAACGCACCCTCAATAGCGTATCTCTCCACACCAGCATCATCAGTTGTAATGTATCGAAAGCCACCAACCAAACTCTTCAGCTCCATCAACCAGAGCTGAAGAGACGCTGATGTCTTATCCTCTGTAAGTAGGAAAGCAACCGGTATACCGCGCATCGTCTGTGGATCCTGTATGATTATTGTGTACAGTTCGAATAGCCCTTTGCTGATGGCATGTGTTGAGTTCATTCCGATGGCATCTGGATTCTCCCTTAGCTGCCCACAGCGGATTTGTGTCCAGTACTGTCCAGTTTCTCGACCTTCCTTTGGTTCTGCGCACGGAAAACAAAGAAACCTTGGCTTTCGAGATGGACCATCCACAAGCACAGAGAGATGATGATAGTTGGATGGCGCTCTGCTTTCAGCTCCCAGTATGAACGCACAAGGCTAAGGACATCCTCTGATGTTACAAAGTTGCCACGGGTGATAGCCTGGTCCTCCAACTGGCGCCAGAAATCTCCAGACAGGGCCATCAGGTTCTCACGTATATGTCGGAGATCCAAGCCAGCATCGATGAGATCCCAGATCTTGTTCTTCATCCTGGAACTGATACGAAGGTACTTAAAGTCATTACCATCGCCAAGAACATGGCCCTCATGCTTGAAATAATATGTCAGGCGAACAAGTTCCTGGTGGCGCTTGGTCTCGTATGCCGGATCAATGACAGTGCCAGTCATCAGCTTATGGACATAAAGCTTGGCCTGGCAACCGACTTTCTGGGATTGTCGAATGACTTGTCTAGCTGTCTTCCTTGGTTTGTTCTCTGGCTTCCCGCATCGATGGCATATCCAGGCCTCCCAAAACAGGTACTGTCCTTTTGCAGACTGTGGAGCGATGCGCTCATTTTCTCGTCGCCAGTGAAAGTAATGCGTCAAACCATCACGTTCGATCCAGTCCAAATAACCTTTCTCCGGAACAAAAAAGACTTTCGGTTGATAGTCGAGGCTATTGTTGCGCGGCCGCGTAATGAGTCGCGGATCGGTAACCATAGGGAGGTTGGTCCAGGGAGCATCCCCTTCGCAAGAATTTTTAAAGCTCTTGGAGAGTTCTCGAAACCGGCTCCATGCGTCATTATATTCTGCTTTGGCCTGGGCTACCTCGGCTTCAGGACTTTCAGTATCGTCCACTCCATGACCGTCTGTGATCGAGAGGTCCCCAAACTGTAACGGGGTCGATGTCTGCATCTTCATCCGTGATTGTGAGGTCTCTCAATTGTAAGGGATCAATGCTTGCAATATCATCGTCAGTGATATCGTCAGCTCCGCACGGTATGAACATTGGTAAGGCGCTGTCGAGATCTTTATTCAACTGTACATCCATTCTCCATCATAAAGCAAACAGAAAGGCGCATTGAAAGGTCAGTCAATGATACCTTCATGGTGAAACCAGCTGTGGTGCATTAATTGCCATGCGTACCCCATTGATTGACAATACTTACAGCCTCATTATGATTAAGCTGCCGGCGGTAGTGTTGGAGTTTAAAGAAGCATGCAGCCGACCCGCATGCAAGTGTCAATGTCCTAGACAAGATTAAAGATGGTCCGTTAGTGTGCCAACTCAACACAGTCAAGTCACTTAGTTATTACGATTATCTTTTCGGCAACTTGCAGCTGCAGCCATTTTCACGCCCAGAAATTCAGGAGCACACAAAACAAAAGGAAACGCGCCTTCAGAGCTTTTTACAGATTATCCCCTCCGCTCATTCTTGTCCTCCTACATACGCCACCAAACTGCGTTGACTGTTCACTCAATCACGCTTAGTTTCGACCATACCCAACCTCACTCCCTTTTGTCTCACCGATGGAGAACCCACGTCAAACGCGTTTCCAGTCTCGATACCATCTACTGACACCATCAGTAACCTCAGGAATCTCATCAAGGCTGAGAAGGCTGTCGCTTTTGCTGATGTCGCAGCAGACAAGCTCACGGTCTGGCGTGTCTCGGTCCCTGTCGTCGCTGTCAATATCCACAATGCGGTCTTCCTGAACGAGATCGACTCCAAGACGGAACTCAGTCCAGCGACTCGCCTCTTCAAGATCTTCACGGAAGAGCCATCTGAAGAAGCAATCCACATCACCGTGCAGCGACTACTACCAGGTAATCTATCCCGCGCGCTATGAACTAGTACCTGGATTTGCTCGCGTTTCGCTTTTTCTCACGAAATACTGACTCTTGACCCTATCGTTTCTTGCACCCTATCGAGCTGTTACATTAGCTGTCCCTGCCCTTGTACGACTCCCTTCCTCAGATAAATTTCACCCTAGCTCCTTCCTCTCTGGTGAGTGTAGAGACACCATTTTCTGTTCTGATTACACTTGATCTTTCCAGTCTCTAACAACCTCTAAATCCATCAACTAATTAGGCAGCCTCAGAACAGACCTCAAACAGATTGCAGGCAATTTCTTTGCCCCAGAATCCAAACATACCAAGTTTCTGACCGAGTTCGTGAAGGGCTCACATTGTCTGCCTGTCACCCGAGGCGGCGTGCCGGGTTTGCCGAGACTCGGGGTGCATGGACAGGAGAATGTTCGCATCGCCCCATCGTTATTATTTTTCGATTAACCCGGTTCTGAACATCCCAACAGACTCCCTAGTGTCGCTGAAAATACTCTGGCAAAGTACCCTAGGGCCCGATACCTCCCTCTCTTTGGAGTGAATGGAAGCGGCAAAACGTGCACGGCCATGGAGCTGTTGTCGAATACATGGGGATTATATTTCAACGGCGGGGCAAAGGATTGGGGCTCCAGCGGCATGAATACTCTAATCAACGCTCTTTCAGACTACAAGACCATTTATTTGACACAGAGCAGGGACGGCAACACGGACAGACTACGCCATCTGACCTATGGCCTACTGTATGCGCGGCTGTTGATCCTAGACTACTGCTTGGTTCAACCCGAATCCAAAATCAATTTTTTATGCCAACGATGGATGCTTTTGCAAGTCGCAACGCCTGCATTCATGGACGTATTTCAAAGTCTCTTCAAGGATATCAACGTCTACTTGCATAGACATCCAATATCAGGTTTCATTCTCAACGCCGTACAAGAACTATTCGACAAAGTTCAGAAACAGCTTCTCGATCGAACAACCTCCTTTGATGCAGCACCCTTCAAGTTTCTCGTGGTTCTAGACGAGGCCCAGGTGCTGGATAGACTCTTCAATGGATTGTATTTGGATAGCAATGGCACAACTCCTAGGCCGGTTCTAACCCCTGTTCTCCGGGCATTCAGACACATTACAAATACCATAGACGAACATAAGGTGTGCGTCATGCCTTGTGGGGCGAGCTTAAGCAACTTAGACGTGGACTGGTCCGGAGGCGCTGGATCAGGCGACAAGCTCTCCAAGGGCGACTTTGAAGCAGGCGCGAGTTTGGACATGATCGCCGACTTTGCCGGTTGGACAAGCGAGGATTCGGTCGCATGTTATGTGAAGAGACTGGGCGACACATTGAGCGAGGATGCGAGGATGCGATTGACCCATCTGTTTCCAAGAGAGGTCATACAGAATCTCTACCGGGATTTCACAGGCCGTGTTAGGCACATGATCTCCGTAGTAGTATAAATAATATCATCACTATATAATAAAGCGGTAGTTCTTCTTCCCACCATCATAGGCCGTTTTCGCCCCATTATCTCGATAATCGAGGATATCATTGAGACGAACGATCCATCAAAATGGAAAGAATGCATGGACGAACGCCTGTATCGACTAACGACCGCAGATGTTCTTATAACTGCCAAGAGGCAGGGGCTTTTCCAAGGCAACTTATGCTCAAAATTAGACTGGTTTCTTCAGCGAGTCGACTCCGACGATCCAGCATACGTCTTGTACCGGAACATCAAAGCCATCCTGAAGTTTGCTGTTGTAGCATTCAATTCACAAGGCGGGTTCCTGGCTTACAAAGGAGAGCAGTCTGAATTAGTGAAAGTCGCGTTTGGCCGAATCCGGACATACAAAGACGAGCGCTACACGACAATCGACGAACCCTTTGTATTCAGAGCAGCGGACAATTACTTCCAGAGGACGGACCCTGGCTATCGTCAGTATCACACACAGATAGGTTGGCTACATGTCGCGATGAGGCAACGCATGGGAAATACTGGGAATGGGCAGTCCCGACAAACTTGGAAGGCATCTTTCACGATAGAGTTCTGCCGAAGAAACTGTTCAACGGACCCAAAATTCCACACCCGATGCTCAGACGCAGAGCGGAGATCGTTGTGTGGTGTAGTAAATGAGAATCAATCGGTTGGTCTTACAAAGTTAATATTAGATCACGGGGAAGAGCACCGCCCCCAGAATAAAAGAATAAACGGTCTGGTACCTGAACCAGAGTCTTCTTTCCACCTAAACCATTTGTATCACACATTGTATTCGCCCAGATTGTCCGGATAACACCGCATCAACGACAGGTACTGGCTACCACCGTCAGTAACCCATGCAACGAGATACAATCAACAGGGAATGCCGATCCTGATCATTCGCCACCTTTGCACCGTCAATCGCTCTTATTTAGACATTGTACTTGCCCCGCAGCGCTTCCCCGATCATCGATCGTCTCATTAAGCATCCGTCATCGGCCCACCCTCGTGAAACGGCATTATAAAGGTACAACGGAGGCCTGAACAGCGACCATTGGCATACAACGACTTCAGAGGGCTGGACTTCATTGTCACGACTCCTCACCTCATCGGACATCACAATATGCGAACTCCTTGCAACTACCCCAGTCATTCCCAAAGGAATATAGTCCTAGCTCGCACCATTTAGCTAAACAGATCCCCATATTTATTCCTTTCCATTTACGTCTAGTCTATTTTACCTTTGTGTTCATACATTCCGATCTAAAGGAGGACCCTGCACCACGAACCAGTAAGTGACCGAAGCACACCCTTGCCGAAGTCCTATTCGCGTGGTAACTCCTGCTGTAAATAGAACTAATGATAGAAGTTATAGAACCCGTTAGTAGACCCCCTACACCGCAGTTGGATGTGCAGGCGGATTGCAGACGACCGGGCATGAAACGATGATTATGGAGGAGTTTCTGGCTGCTCATATCATTGATGGATCGGTACACAAAGGAAACCAGGTGCTGCCTTATTTCTTTCCAGACGAGCAAGTGTCTGGCTCCGACCTTGCATTTGTCGTTCGATTTATTGGCGCGGCTCAGAATGAGAAGGATATCAGAATACCAGTTTTCGTCCAGTTGAAACTTCGCACCAAAATGCGCTGCTCCGACGCAGAGAAGGCTCGCGAAACAGTCCAGCCAACAAAAAGCAACGGGCACGGTATCGATACTAAGCAATACTGCAAGCCGCACAAGCACTTCATCAGTCTCATCGTGTCTTATCCCGCCGAGATCGCCGAATATTTCCAGAGCGAGCCCATGAAGATGAAACACTGCGAAGATGTTACAGAAATTGCACTGGCGATTGACAACAGCAATATTCACGATCTCTTTTCAATGGAGTATATCACTGTACTGGATCGAGTCAAACGACTCATAGATGAGATGGATGAAGGACTGGAGCAGACAGAGAACAAGGCGCTAAATGTTCGTCATTCTCTCTTGCAAAAATAAGAGCTATGCATGGCTTATGCGATCTCGCAACGACCATAACCACTGGACACATTATGGCACATATGAATGGACTCGTACTGCACCCAAAGCGCGGAAAGATGCATGCGAAATAGCATTATAATAAATCAAATTATCTGTCTCCATGATTACCAGGTATTGGAACGTACATTCAAGCAGAACGAGCCATTGATCAATCTCTACAGCTTTGCAAAGTGAACTTTATGCACGAATCCTGTCCAGCCGTGGTTTTACAAGGCGTCAGATGGCAAATAAAAGAGCTACACGGCGATTTTTTTTAGCACAGTCAAATTGGGGAGGATTATAACAATTTGTCTCTCGAGTCTGCGAACCTATCAGACTTAACTAGCAATGATCAACCACAGTCGTCCTTTCCACAGTCGCCAAATGACAGGCCACATTCCACCGGTGTTAAAAGCTGAAACCCCTTGTTACAAAAGGGTATCTTTTCCATCCCTTCCATGGTTGTCGACCGCCTCCTCCTTTGCAAGCAGTCCAGCAGCGTCCGCTCCGCTGCATCTGGGCCGAGTACGGAACTAGGGTAACTCCTGTTTGAAAAGTATGACTGTGTCCAGAATCAGTGAGGAAAAGAGCGTTAATTATTGCGGTTGAGAAATTACTTATTGCTCGGTGGCTAAAGTTAATATCTGGACTCAGTCTGACTATCGCACAGAGAGGCAGCGTGAAAAATAGTGAGGACAATGGTCAGCGTCTCAGATGTATCTGTTGCCCTCACTCCAGTCTCCTAGAGGGCATTTTTTATTTTTATTAACAAGGATCCTCAACAATATGGGATTTGTATTCCACAGAGGCTGTGGCTCATAACTTCTCCTACATGCAGCATAGCTTTTTTTTAATATTAATTTGTCTCTCGAGTCGATTGATCCTACAAGCAGCATAGCTTCATTTTTTTTTAATAACTAGGACCCACGGGGACGTGTGGGCTTTATTCCACGGTCGAGGGCCTTTTTTTTAAAAACTATTATTTTTGCACAGCTGAAATTTCTATCACGTGATCTATTCGGAGGAATCCGTGGCTCTCAGATATTAGAAATATATAATATTATTATTCCTCCGGAAAATATCGGAACAATCTTGCTGTTCCCGGCTTCTGTGGCGCAATTGGTTAGCGCGTCTGACTGTTAATCAGGAGGTTGGTGGTTCAAGCCCACCCAGGAGCGAAGATTCTCTTTTATATTTTTTGTTCTTGGGCTATCCTTCTCTTCTTTTTGCACCTTGGATACCCATCTCTTCCTTTCGGTTTTCATGCATACCACGAGCAAAGCGCCAGCACAGATCAAATCCGGAAGGCCTATGCAAATAATTGTATATCTATAGCTCCCATAATCCGCCTCAACAGTAGGCTGCGCCAGAGGTGGTCCCAACAGATATCCAGCAGACTATGAAAAGAACATGAACGCCAGTACAGACGCAAGCTGATCCGGGCCTGCTGTTCTCGCCTCTGCGACCGAGAATAGCATTACTGAGGATTCTGCAAAGGCCCCGTAACAGTTTGCTCTGAGCAGATTGCTATACAGCATACGCCGATGATAAGGCTGCAGATCATTGACAGGTTGAGCAAGCCGTAGCGATCGGCGAAATGGGAGAGACAAAAGTGATGGCCTGCGAAGCCGTGGCCATGGCGGCGTCTTCTGCTGCAGAGCGACCAATCAATATTGTGTACAATGTCACCATCAGCATGGGGACCATGTATGATAATGGAAAGAACATGCACTCGATGTTGGTCAGCCTGTAGCTGTGGCTCCTGAGCACTGTTAACGTCAAGTCCATGGATTTAGTTAGCTGAGCCAGGTGCCGTTTTTCTGATATGGAGTAAAGTTGTCGGGTACCGTCAGAGTATAGCAGACGCCCACCCAGTCCGAACATAATGACCCCTATGAATAAAAAAAAGAAAAAGAAAAGAAAAAGACGCGCAAATTTGTGAATCATCAGCTAACTTTGAAGACATGAAAGTGTAGGAACATATGACAGTGAAATAGAGGCGGCCACGATTGGTTCGCAAGGCTGTTGATAATATAGTTGGGTGATGATAGAATCATACCGAACGCTTGCACGCGCTGGCTTTCCAGATTACTGATAAAGAAAATGGCACTAGGGCCTGCTGTGGAGAGAGTAGCAGAGCTGGTACCCTCGACGCAGGAGAGATGCCGGATATTTGCGCTTGGGAAAAAAATAAAAAAAATAAAAAATAAAAGCTCATGCGAACAAAATATTCTTGGTAGACGCCATAAGCGCAGTTGACGCCTAGCAATCTGGCATTGTTATATTAATAGCGGTAGGGGTTGAGTGCATCATTACCAGATAATACAACAAATCTGGCTAAAAGAATGGGCCATCCATGTCTTCCATTCAGATAGAACCATGTATCGCTCTTGATTGCGTCTATGTCGCTGTTGAAGGCTTCCTACTCGTGTCTACTCCGGAAGTCTCGTTCTTCGCCTTTTCTATTCTTATCCATGAACTTGGTATCCGCCTCAGATATATTGTTTTGCTGGATGTAGTGGGTTGCGACGACTTCGGATGCTCTCAGTGCTTCTGTGGCCCAGTTCTTTCAGTGTTTGCTATGTATTATGGTACCTCGACATCTTGCTGTTAATTCAGCAGCTTCCCGTTCAAGTCTTGGCGATGTAGGTCGATTGGTACTTAGAAGAAGACGTAGCGCTGCAAGAGAATAAAAAAAAAAGGCACGGAGTATCATAGGGAGCGGTTGGCGTGCGAAACATCCAGTGGATTCAGTATAAGAAAATGAAATGGCGATTCAGTATCGATGGGATGCGAGAAGTGAGCAAGAGGTTCCAGAAGAGGATGAGGGGCCGCAAGTCAGGATGTATACCTTTCGACAGTGGCCCAAACGCGCGTTGAGGTGGCAATGGCTTAGCGGAGTGAAGCACACCCTTCATCCTGTAGCCAGATTTTGAACTGTTGCTTCCTCGGTCTCCACCAAAAAAAATGGGTTGCATATAAGGGTAAGCAAGTACAGTTTTGCGTATTGGGACGGAAAGGGGTATGGGTGGAACAGTATCCCTTATGGAGCATGAAGGTTGTCCCCTGTTTGCCACAAGCTGACGGACGAATAAGACCCTGGGGCTGATGCGCCCCATAAGACCGGGGCGAACGTGATGCCATCAAGATGTATGTATGTGTGTGGGACGCTGAAATTGTCTTTCAGGACGACGCGGGATTTTTGTGTCGCGTCCCTTTTTTTATTTTTTCGTCTGCCAAATAGGCAACTGGGCGGGGAGTGTGTCTTGATTATTCTTCAACGTGCAACCAGGAACTTTGGAATCTGGACTCATCCCGTAACCATAGTTCTTGTCTGTCTGTTAGACACAGCCCCCGTTCTAACGATCGTGGACGACGGGCCCCGATTCCTTCAACCCCTCTTTCTTTCTCACTTCCTCTACTTTCTCCGATCCACTTTCATTCCCTTGTTATCACCACTCTCTCGCCTCACTCATCCTTCGTCGTCTCCGCTTATCCTCTCTTCCATAGCATTTTGCTAGTAGCAAAGCCTTCTAATCTCTTTCTCCAGGTGACTTTACTGCGACAAGACATGGACAATACAACATGCGACCCCACCAACCGCACCAACTCGGCTTCGAACTTGCTACCCAAACAGGATATCGAACACCCTGAGCAGACCTTCCCTCCTGCCTCGCTCGCAGCAGCCCAAATGGAGATGAGCACCGACAAAGTAACCGATCCTGACACTGTTCCCATAAAGAAATCCGCGCCCAGACGAGTCATGGTCCTCATAGGAATGCCTGCACCTGTTTTGCCCCCCCGACCCGTCTTCCCTCCCGAGCTGGAGCGCTATCAAATCCAAGATTCCGGACGTGATTCTTGTTCTCAGTATAGTGTCCAGATGCAGGCTTATTTGACGAGTCTTCGCCAGGATTATGAGAGACAGCTCAAGGATTATGACCTTCTCAAGCACTTTGCACAGGAGGATAAGTCGTTTGCAAACGCAGTAATGGACGAACTTGATGCTCTGGACGAGGACCCTTTCACACTCGACAGTTTTGAGAACCTTATGCGAATGCATGCAAGCAAGGGCAAAGATTTCATCCTGGCCAGAGTGACCACACAGGACCCGAACGACGATACCAAACTGTATCACTCGTACTATGGAGCACACCAGATCAACAAAGTTTTATTCAGGACGCAGCCCGACGAAGGGCTCTTGCACCGCATGAAAGCCCGAAATGTAAGGTTAAAGTACCCTAGTGAATACATTACTGTTATTAGCAGGTAGTTTCGTTCATGGATGTGAACTAATATAACTTTTCTCCCCTGTATATAGCCGCTGAACAATATGCTGATAGTCGGCGATGTCCATTACTACATGATCTCTGCAGAGGACGTGAATGCCATTAAACCATTGCCAGCCGTGCGCAGCTCAAGCTCATCCATCTCATCCCATTCGTCGCGCATGAGTCGATGCAGTAAACTAGCAGCTCAGGCGATAGCCAGTCAATCAGCCTCTGCGCGCTCGTCTCCTATACTTGGCAGCGATGCGTCCTTATTTTCGCGAATTTCCGAAGTCGAGTTGCCCGTTTCTATCATCCCGCCCATGATGGCCATGTCAATCCTGAAGGCAGACCAAGAGGATCGCAGCGCCAGCGGTAGTAATACTGGCGGATTTTCAGCTGAGGCTCCCAATTTTAATGCTGCTCCGCGTCCAAGGATGCGCCGTAGAAGCGTGGGCTCGTCTTCATTTTACGGATCCTCATCATCGACGGTAACTCGGTCCTCTCGACTTTGTCAGAGCATCGATCCGTTCGACGGACCGGCGTTTAGTTCTTCTAGTTCCCTCGCCGGTATCCAGGATCGGTCTCGTCAAGGAGAACTAGAATTCGGATCCGAAGCTAATCACTGCCCAATGAGCTCTTCCATGCATCGACACGGCTCCTGTTCTCAACAACAACAGCAAAACCTAAAACAGGGCCAAGGCCCTCACTTTCAAAGCCTAATGGGTGGCCAGATGCGCGGTCCCTCAAGCACAATCTCGAGTAGCCAGAGTAACCACAGAGCCAAGAGCGATCATAGCCATTCCTCGAAATATAGTGCCGCTGCCTCCGATGTGAGCGATGTCTCTGTCCTCTCGCCCCGTACTCCTTCTGCATCTTCTCCGTCGCCATCGAGTCCTGTTGATAAGACTGAAAGAGCAACGTTCAAGTTCCGGTACCTGGCATCGGATGATGATTTCTTACTACGTTCGGCGGTTCGACAGATATTCAAGGCCAATGCGCTTGAGACCTGGGATGCGATCCTGTTCACGATCAGTAATAATGCGCTGAGGGAGTACTCGAATCAAGGAGCTCAGGGGCAGCAGACCCCACTGCCGCCAAATTCTTCGCTAGCCTCGGGACAGAACCGCAACCAGAGTCAAAACCATAACCACGCTCAGACAGCGCAAACGCCAGCTCAAGAAGCATCGCAAAGCCGAGATACTACAGAAGCTGTCCCAAGCGAGTCGGCTACGGTGCTTCAGGCAAGTGCCGCGAGCCCTCCACAAAGCAACGGCACAGTCGATGGGGCTGATCAAGGCAGTTCAACAGACCTATCCTGCAGTATGTCCTCATTTTCCACGAGAGACCCATCCACATCTATAACTACGACAGGCTCCGCTCCATCATCTTCGTCGCTACCCCTCTCCTCCTCATCTTCATATTCGTCTTCAGCTGCAGCGACAGGAGGAACCATAGCTGCGGATAGTGCGGTTTCAAGACTTGACTCCGGACATGGCTCTTCGGTGTCCTTACCTGGTGACGAGTCCGGAACGGAGCCTTGGGTTGTAGGCAACCGTGGTTCTAGAGCAAGCGACACAAGGGGAAAAGCGTGTCGACCTCAATCGGAAGTTTTGTTCCCATCTGCATCGGAGGGTGATTTATTGGACCATCGACAGCAACAGAACACGCAACAGCAGGAAAAGGTGTTTGGAAAGAGGAAGATTCGTCGTGCACTTAGCAAGATCTTTTCACTTAGTTGAAAGAGCCGATGGCATGAAGGAGGAAGAGCCGGGCATGACATTGCTGACATGAGAGTGTACAATACTAATATCAAAGCATAATAAATCTCCGAATGGCTGGCGGATCATTGAAACGTGCGTGGTTACTTCCAGCGACTCACATGGCTCTCTTTGTCCTGACATGAATCCCATCCCCCTTCCAAAAAAAAAAAAAAAAAAAAAAAAAAGAGATGGCAAAAAATGTTTCTATGGGTTCCTGCATGGGTCTATTGCGAGGACTTGGGGTTTGTAAAGTCCCATTAGCCATAGTGAACTGGCCCTCATGTATCAAAGCACTACTCTGGATAACCAAGCAGAATAAAGCTGCATCGTTTGGTATACTTAGCTCGACAGGTTAGATGGCTACCCATTCCAGTCAACCTGGTCGAGCACTCGCTCAGTGATTCTTGGAGTGGTTTTTTTGACTTGAAACTCCCTGACCACCTCATGTCAATGCAGCACAGCTTTTTTTTTTTTTTTTTTTTTTACTTGCTAACAATAGCTACTCCCTAGATAACACCTAAGCAGAAAATTTAGAGGGCAAGACTGGTGTTGAAAACGTAAAGGTTTCCCAAGAGTGCGTTTTTAAAGCCAATCATTACAGGCGATGGATGCGGAGCGATGGCATTCTCTCTATGAGCCACGCCCGATCACTGTCTCTCATAATCTTCTTATCTGCAGACATTTCCAATACGGTCAGATGCTTTAACCTGAATAGCTGCGCCCGTCCACCGTTCTTGACAAATAAATCCCTTCTTGCCTCCGGTCTATACGGATCAAAAGACCGGATTTCCAGTCTCTGCAGATTGCTCATATCACCAAGCTGCTGCCAGACCTGTCGCTGCAATTGTGCGTCGTTGATATTGCTCGGCCTCAATGTGACCTCGCTTAAATCCTCTGCGGATGTATCGTGGGGGGTCCTTCGAATTATCCGGACAGACAGCTCTTTTAGGGATGCGCACACCCACGGCGATCGCACAATATCCTCCATATACAACGCCTCACCACTCGAAAAAATCTCCAAACGTTCCAACCTTGGACAGCCGGCCAGTAAAGCCTGCATATCAATACCCACGAGAGGGCTTTGGTTTCTTGTTACAGTCACTTCTTCCAACGACTCTCCGTGGTACTTGACCAGATTTGCCATAGCCTCTGGAGTAGCGCTCGCTGAATCCAATGCAAAGGTTTTCAGTCGTGAGGACTCTCCGCAAACCCGTAGTAATTCCGCTAGTGCAGTCCATGCAGCCTCGCCCCAAAGGCCGGACAAGGACAGATACTGGAGGCGAGAGGGGTAGTCCGAGTGGCAATGTTGAATCATCTGGTTGATAAGTTTGTGTCCATGGTGGCTGGCTCTAGGAGCTATTCTGAGCCCAAGGTGCTTGAGCCTCGGACAGAGTCCGAGTAGTATGGATGCTCTGTCATCACCGCTATCATAAAGAGTCAACGAAGTCATCTTTGTCCACGGAGCTCTCTTTCCCTGTGAACCGGCGTTTTCGGGGCTAAAGTCGATATTAGTGTGTCCCCAAATCCGTCGGTCCAGTCGTCTAAGTCGGGGTCCGCATCTCAGCAGATGTTCGAAACTGTCGGCAGCGAGGAACGCTCCTGAGGCTAGGGTCAATTCACTAAGTTGTGGGAGATCTGCAACGAACTCGAGGTCGGACAGATAATCGTCAATGGAAGGCGACCGATACCCAGGATCCAATAGGAATCGTGTGATACTGGGGTTCCGTTGGAGCAGTGCCCTCAGCCTTGAAGACCTTAGAGCGGGCGGGCAGATGTCATCTGGGTAAAGATGAAACTCCGTTATATTCTGGCACTTGGGACCAAACAGCTCGACATCCGGAATCTCTGTAAAATTTATATGAAGGATGAGTATGTGGTGGCCGTGTTTTTGAAACCCTTGCCAAGACTCCAGTTGGTGGGCTATTTTATGCTGGGCTGTTCCATAGTAGACCCGCCGATAAAGCCGTGGAGTGAATGCTCCTTTCCAAAACTTGCAGGCTAGTACGCAGCTAGCCAGGTCGCTTTGTGGCAACCAGACAGCGATAAGCGACAGCAGCTCGGGGACTTGAAGTGAAGAAGGTTCCATGGGTGAAGTGGGTGGAATTGTGTGTAAATGGGTGGTGAAGGTAAGGAATGTCAAAGGCAGAGGCAATGGCAAAATCGAAGACGATGGTAATAACGAAGAAAAACAGCAGGGAAGGTATCAAAGCGTTTTAGATTTTATGGCTGCTGTTGTCAATGCTTTTGCCCGCATATAGACGAAGTGTCTGTTTCCACAAAATAGGGCGAAGCAAATTTCGAGAAGTTTAAAACCACATATTCGTGCTTTCTTCATGTTCGCAGGAATATAGAAAGCCTTAAGTGAATCTTTCTTAGAATCAATCTCATTCAGGTAGACAGGGTTATGGATGTGATGAGCCATAGAGCTAGCTTATTCGCTGCAATGCAATCGAATGTGGGAGTCGTCTTGGCTTTAATGTGGTCCTTGAGGTCCTTGACATCCTCAGGAAGAAAATCTGGACAGTTAACGCATTTGAACAGGATTCTCCACCGACTAGACAAAGAGCTCGAGGTTTGCCATCGTGGAAGAAGGGGCGCGTAATTGACTTCGCATAGTCGAGTGAGTGAGCAGACGACAAACTGTACAAGTAATTGAAAGAGTGTTGTGTACAACGATAGAGAGGGTGATGACAGAGAGGAACAGTGTGAGAGAGAAGAGTGGTTTGAAGGAGTGAAGGAGAATAGCTAAGTGAAGGAGAATGGCTGAATGGAGAAGAAATGCGTATGTTTTTATAGCGAGGGCGCGTGAAAAGGCGAGGATCTGGAACTGATAGTAACAAATACAACTTTGTTTCAGCCTGCCCTCGACCCCACTGGGAGCTATACTTGGGCGCAATAATGGATGTTGAGGGTGCTTTGGGGAAATATTTGCAAGGCTCAAGGTAAAATAAAAAGTGATTCATGGTCGAGTCAACTTCAGCAGCTCCTCTGTTGGCGATAACGGTGGCGAGTGGGTTCGGCTGCCTTGTAGCGGATCCGACGGGCTCTGGATCCTAACCCCGCCTGCCTTAGTTCTTTTTCTCGAAGGCGTAAGCATCACGTTGTTCTGAAACCTTTTCGCCATGGCTGAGTGGGCTGCATTGCTTGACCTTGCGACGCCTCTCTCCAGTATGGTCTTCTCTAAGGCGACGTCATGACGCTCCTTTGCTCTACCCCTACGGGAGCAAGAGAGAACAGGCATGGTTAGCCGCGGTGTCAACCAACAACAGCGACAATAAAAAAAAAGAAAAGAAAAAGAGACGCTTACTACATAGTTCCACATGATGGCGAGGGAGTCGCCTTTCAGAAACGTCTTCAAGCCCCTAGTGCTTCGAGGTAGATGGACCGTGGTCGGAGTCGTCTCTCCTGCAATTGCGGTCCCTCCCATCGGTTTGATTTGATAAAGATCCCAACGAACCCTAGTTAAAGTATCCAAAATAAACAAAATACTCAATAACATGATCTCGCAGCATGCGATAATTAGCCCCATGTAAGATGATTCACATATCTGCGACGTCGGCCATCATCGTCGAAGTGTCCTTCACACCGAGAGCAAGATGCAATTCTTGGATGCATCGGGCTAACCTGGCGTTCTTGCAGTTTTGGAGAGCAATCTCTATCCGTGCTGCCTAGCTTTTTGAACTCGATGTTCGAGACCTCAAATCCCTCGTACATGAAGAGGCAATCTACTTTTCATCCGGAATCACCCACTTCACTGTACTCAGTCGCCTGTCGCTGCCTCATGATCTTGGATGCCTCCAAAATCTTCTTTCTACTAATGATCAATGAACGACTTCTTGGTTAGAGTTGTTTCCGGATTGTATGCGTAGATGGCACAATTACACCACACCATATTGTCGCGACTTACGTGTGGAGTGTCTGCTTGTCCACCATCACAGAAAAAATTGACGTCCACAACTGTAAGCAATCGTTCTCGGATGGTATGGCATTGCCAAACGGATGTCGAAGAATAAACTGGCAGCTAAGAAAAACAGATTCGCATTGTTACTAAATGGTGTACAGATATCACATCAACTATGCTGTTCGATGTAATCACAATGTTTACAGTAAGATCAGGATTGCAGGACCCTATCTTCCAATTCAGCGTCTGCTGGTAGCTGCTCCACATCAACTGTCGCGCGCCACGAGCTATGGCACTGCCACAGCGGCGCTTGGCAAGTGATCGGTCGACTCTTGGCAGGGATCGGACTACCTCTTGGTAACGCGTATAATACCACAGCGATCTCGAATAATATGAAGAGAAGAGCATATTATCCGAGGGAGCCGACCTATAATGTCCCTCCCCACCACTCCCAGTCGCCATCGTTCTCCCGTTCAAGCAAAGAAGATGAGGTGTATCCAGAGCATTCGAGCAGTTTTGTTTTCGTTTTTTCTTTATTTCCTTTGTCTATTTGCTTTGGATTTTCGGTGCAGAAAATAAAGAAAAGAAGTGACACATTATAGGTCGGCTCCCGCTGTGATAATAGTTACACAAGGCAAATAGAAACATATATATTTCATAGTTCTGTGTCTGTTTTATTCCTTATCTAGCAACTCGAATATAGCCCTAAGCTCATCCTGACGCCTCTCTCTTGACACTTGATTACTTGATGCTATTTTTCCGTATCTGCCTTGCTTAGAAAAAGATCATCCTGACTCTGAACAAGCGTAGGTCCGCGACATCAACGTACTTGCTGTTTATGGCTCCTCGGTCGATGATCAGCCTCTTCTTGAGATTAGCCACGCCTTTCTTTGCAAGGATGGAGCTGTACTTTTGAATGATGGCGGTGCATCCATGCTTCTCGAATCCATCAATGACGCTTAAAGACTTCACAGTCTCAAATAGATCCTTATCATCCAGTTCCTCAAAGTGCTGGCAGGCCCTCATTGACATGGTATTCAGGGTACATGACATGACTACCCTATTGAAGCATATAAATGTTCATCATTAGATCGACAATTCATGAGGGAGTGTACTCAATGCAACTATAGAAAGATCTTTGACTTACTGAGCGTCTTTGACGAGAATGATGTCTTTTTCTTGAGGATTTTGACTTTGGTATTCCTTCAACAACTTGACGGCATGGTCAAACAGCAGAGTATGGACAGGGAGCATATCTGGCAGCGGTTCTGGAAACGAGATATCTTTTTCGCCGTTCACCTATTGCACATGTACATGCTATATCAGCTATTGCTTATGATATCCAACTCTCTCTATACCAAGGACAGCTTCGTTCTTATCATATCTATTAGCGAGAGGGCTAGAGAGCGCCAAGACTCTTCCGTGGCGTAAAGGTTCTTTTTGCACTTTTTGACGGCTGAAGTCAGTGCTGGCGACGTTGATACCTCTATGGCAGAGCCATGCGAAGAGCAGCCAATACTAGCATGATGCATGTTTATTTAGGACAACATTGCGAGCGGAGCAAGGAGTAAACGGTACATACCGGTGCCACTGTCATCGGCCTTACCCTGCCCAGCGTTCCCTGTTCCCTGCCCATTGGGTTGCTCTGCTGAAGGTGCCTCCGTGCCAAGGTGGACGGCGTCAGGGCGGACAACCCTTAGTTTTACCTCTTGTTTTGCAATGCCATTACGCTGCAACTCATCCAAGCAGTTATCTTTGATGAGGAGCGTGTTTTGGGATGTCCGAGACTGGGCTTGGATTAGGTTGACGTGTTTTGAACCCGCGACTGAGGCCAAGAACTTCAGTTGCCGAAAGCAGAAATTTCTTATCGGCCGGGGAATGCTTCTGTACGATTTAATAGACCAAAGATCGCTAGAGTACTGTTCGAAGTCTGATGGATATTGGCCAGAAATGCTCCTACTGTCCATCCGGAGACGCTGTTGGCCAGGAAGAAGGGATGAACCTCCAGGTCTGAGTCGCGCTCCAAGCTGTCAGATCCGAAGTACATGGGCTCGATACTCATCGTGTTGGGAGTAGGAAAGGTAAAATATGGCACAAAAATGCCGCGTGAAACAACAGCCATCGTTTGTAAACGAGGTCGCTGGTGAGCGCCTTATAAAACGCATGTCTATCGATAACCACTGGGCCAAGGTATTGTACTCCGACGTAAGGCGTGTCGAGCATGGTTCGGCTCGTTCAGGCGGGGCCTTGGGGAAAAAAAAAGGATACATGGTTCATGTGTGCAGTCTCCTGCGATGAGCGTACTTGTTGTGTAAATCCGTGAGTTCAAGCGACTACGCTCCTATAGCCGTGTAGCGTTCAAGAAGGGCCATCTTTGTCCACAAGGAGTTCTAACCATACGTTCCGCCCTTGGTATAGCTGTGCGTCTTGAAGGTGGTCTCGGCTACACAAGCCTTGGCGCCTCCTGAGCTGTCTCCGTAACAGCAACATCCCGTACTGGACTTGCCGATATAGTTTTGGAATGAATGTGACGTGCCAGGACTTGCGGACTCGTATATATGCAATGAGTCAGACCGTCCTGTGAAACCGTGCGCTGATGAGCGGCACCAACCCAGCGAGCAGGGATGGTAGCATGGGTGTTTAAAAGTGAAAGAGAAGAAAGACGAAAAGCAAACCGATTCCACGCGCATTAGTCTATGGCAGTTTCTTTTATTAATATTGCTGCTATTACAGATTGGAGAGTCGATCTACATTTTTTGTGTTTATTCAAGGAAGCTTGGTTTTTCGCAGGCGTATAGGGTTTGAAGCAGGCTGTCCTTGCTACTCTCTTCAAGTGACCAATAAATGCTGCGTGATTTTGCTCTCAAGCTGCAACAGGATTATCACCTAGTTACAGGGCAGCATGGTTACGACACGGAGAGCGCTAGCATTAAGGTAACACCGTTATGGCACTGTACAATAGACCACATATGTGTATATGAAACCTAGTTATGATCCATAAACGACATTCATAATTTTTCTTTTACGTGTTTCTAGTTCACCACTAATCGACCCCTCGACTCTGCTGCTGTCGCACTAGTTAATTTTTTGGTTAATCGTCAAGACCACCTCCAACGACGACTCTGTATGGTGGACCAGTAAGCTCGTTATGATCTCGTGAGAAATATCTGTAGACACCAGTTTGAACGATTTGAGCTCCGGGGACTGCTCACAAACTGGCAACAATCCTGCCAGCGCAGGCTTGACCCTTTTCTATCCAACGTGCAGATAGAGATAGATGTTGTAGATGGGAAGGATAATCTGAATGGCAGCGTTGAATTATCTGGTGATGAATTTTAATAAAATTATCTTACTGTAAATATGTGGATATGGCGACGAGGTGCTTGAGTTCTGGGGAAAAATGCAACCAGACCACCGATCCAGAAATCACCGTTATCGTATACGGTCAAGGAAGTCATTCTTGTCCAGGGTCCTAACCGTCCTATATACCGTCCTGTGAGATTCAGACTCGAAAGTCCACTCGCTCCAAACAGGTGCCTGCATCTTGGGATCTAACTGAAATTGAACTGATACTGTTAAGCCCCTCCTGTAAACAACAGTTTCTTAAGCTGCGAGAGCCCTTCAATGAACTAGAGTCCGAGTGTGAGTTCATTGATGTAGAAGGAGAGAGGGTTTAGGTGCAGTTCGAGCTTCCGGATGCAGGAATTCTTCCTGAGTGGCACCTCCAGTCTCGAGAGTTCTTGACGACGGAGACCTTTGTGCAATTCAGAAGTGAAAGTCCATTGGTCCATTGGATGTCGATAGTTGGGTTCGAATAACTCTAAACTTGAGAAATCTGTAATTAATGACCATGTCCCTGGAGCGCTTGCCATGGTCCTGGCTGCCGGGCTTTATTGTACTTGATGGTCTCGTGGCTGGTGTGTCGGTAAAGCTGAAGTGTGAGCGAATCATGCTCAGGCCTTGCAAAACCAACATTAAATGGGTTAGATCGTCCTATGAAAGAGTAGTGGCAGCAGCTGGGATGCTTAGAGTGGAGGGGTCATGGTCGTAGAGGTTTTTGAAAGTTGGGCACTAGCTGCCAGCATGAACCCTTTGGTTAGATAGTTCTATGTAGTCGCCTCGAGGAGCTCATCTATCCACTTGAAAGTGCGAGGACTATAGTTCGCAATGCTGGAGGCTTTTGTTCTTTACGGCTTCGTTTCCGTCGTGTGTGTTCATATCCCGCTCTCTGTAGAACTGGATCAAGGTCGGGATTTCGACAATTGTTGCTTGTGTAGCCTTGTGGAACTATAACCATATGTATCCATGCAGTGTGTGCGTAGACTATGTTTTGCTATTGGAGACTACATTGACAAATTCCATTCTCGGGGAACAATTTGGACAACCTTCAAGGTCGCCGTTTGTTTTCCAAACAAACAGAACCACAGGTGTGCTCCATGCGCCCTTTCCCTTGCGACCGCAAGACCTTCGAGCAGGAGAAGAAATCCTCCTTGGCCCCAAAAAGTCCTCTCTCTCTTCTGTCATATATAAGAAGCCGGTGTTCTCTTCCGTCTCTGTCTTTCTCTCTCCCCACTTCCTTCTGATCACATACCCATCATCACGCCCTTGCTGTTTTTCGTCCACACTCATTATATGTAGCATATCTTGCTAACTCTAATAGTCTCACACAGCCCCCTGCACAAAAAGTAGACTGCTGCTTGCACACCTATCCTCTCCTTCTTTCCAGGACCTTGGATCCCTGACTCCTCTTCTTCTGTAATGGACTCAATAGAGTCCTCCGAACACAGCCTCGATGTCCACAGCTGGCTGGTCGTCTGCACATTCATGATAGTCATCATCCTCGTCATTCGGCCTGTTCGCATTCCACTTCCCATTCCCTGTTCAAGACGCAAACACTCCAATTACATCTCGACTAATACATCAACACCGCTACCAACAACAATACAAGCTAGTGCAGCAGAAGGATCAGCTACTACCATCGCCGCAGCGACATCAACAGGACCCAGCGATGAACGCCCACGCAACATCAACAATGATAGTGAAAACAACGTACTCAGCAAGAAGCAGAAGAGGAGGACCAAGTATCCGTATCACATCACCCTCAACATCGCAACCGCACCCGTTCTCGGGGTGCTCTTTCTCCTGGCCACACAGTCGATCGATGGCGAGAGTGTGCGCAATGGTATCGTCGGCGAGCCCGAGAGCGGCGTCGAGCCCTATGCTGTTATGATCCTCTTCTTCTCACTGGTAGCGTATTCAACCTCACTCCATTTGTTTCGTCCATTGGGTTGCAGAATTGAGTAGGGTTCGCGCATATGACATAATTCTTCCCTTGCGCCCTTCGTCGAATGATTTCCCCTGCAGCAGCGCCGATACAGTCGCACTTATCCGAAATCCTCCCCCCTTCACAAAACCTACTGGGTCTGAGACGTCATGGATACACTCTCCGTTCTTCTATCGAACATTACTTTTTTCTTTTTTCTTTTGAACATCATCGTTAATCAATAGGCCTACATCTGCATCAGTCTAGACATGACAGGTGTGCTGCAATACGCCGCCTTCGTGATCTCGAAGCGAGGCGGAGGGGGCGGCCAGCGCATCTTTCTGTATTTCTTCCTGCTCTCGACGATCATGAGCGGGTTGACGAGTAACGACGTGGTGATCTTGACGATGACACCCTTCCTGGTTTACTTCTCTCGTGCCGTGGACCTGGTCACGCCCGTGGCATTCCTCATGGCCGAGGTGCAAACTGCCAATATCGGTATGTTCATCCCCTCCACATCTTCCCCTCTCCTTTGGTGTCTTTTATTTTTTGAGTGTTTGAATTTGGATTCAACTTTAATCTGAAAATGTCCTTCTCTCATTGGTCACCCACCTCCTTTCTTACAAACATTCCCAGCATCGATGGCCCTGTATATCGGCAACCTGACGAACGTGGTCGCCTGTCAAGCCTACGGGGTCTCCTTTCTCGAATACAGTGCCTGGATGCTCCTCCCGACCTTTGCCTCCATCGCAGCATGCTATGTGATGCTGCGGATCAATTTCCGGAAGGAGAAATATATCCCCAAGACGATCAAGAGCCCCGATGTCGATCCGCGGTCGTGCCTGGTAGATCCCTTTGGGGCTATCTTTGGACTCGCGGTTCTGTCGAGTTCCTTGATTTGCTTGATCGGGACGTCGTTTGCACATGTCTCCGTTTGGATCGTCACGGGGCCGTTTGCGTTGTTGACGCTGACCAGGGATATTTGGCATGATTATCGGGGGAACTTCAAGGGTGTGCCAGAACCAAAGTCGGATGCTGCTCCAGGCGATGTGCAGGAGGGCGCCGGAGCGACAGAACTGAATAGGAAGGAGTCGTATGCTGCTGCTGATGGAGGAGTTGAGGGCCGGATTGAGCAGGGGTTGCCGGGAATTGCGGTGCGGGAGCAGAGTTATGTGCATCCGGTTCAGATATTGGGAGCAGAAGACAATAACGGCGATGATGATAGCGATAGTGATGATGACGATGAGGAGGATCAACATAATCAGGACATCGCACAACTGGATCAGCCTCCCAAAGGGCCTATGATGGCCTCTAGCAATGAGAAGCAGGACTCGACAGGAAGTGTTTCAAAAGACCGACCGGAGGAGATTTCTATACCCGTGAGCAGCGACGACGCCCCGGCACAGCAGTCAATCCTTAGTCCTCGCCCGACCACGACCACTGGAGCCAGGACTCCAAAGCACCCCCGACGCAGGACGATTAAACATGCGATCAACAGATTCGAGCACCGATGGCCACTCCTATACGCGATCATCATCCGGATGCCCTGGGCGATCCTCCCGTTCACGTTCAGTATGTTCATCATGGTCGAGGGGCTCTCCAATTCCGGATGGATTGCGATCTTTGCGGGCTGGGCCACGAACTTGATCCCCAACTACATTGTAGCGACGTACGCGGTCGGGTTTATTTCGGTGCTGTTGTGTAACCTGTTCAACAATGTGCCGATGACGATCCTGGTGGCGAGGATCCTGCAGCATCCGAGGTTTGTGGGATCACCCTTGGCGACGCCTGAGGTCGTGAGGGGATGTTTGTTTGGGTTGATTGTCGGAAGTAATCTGGGGGCGTGCACGACGCTGATCAGTTCGCTGGCTGGATTGATGTGGGACTCGGTGTTGAGGAGTAAGAAGAGTAATGTGGGGTTCTGGGGATTTTTCAGGTGGAATATGGGCGTGATGCCGATGGTCATCTTTATAGCCTTGTCGGTGGTCGTCATCGAGTTGAAGGTCATTTACAAGTAGTCTAGACACATAAGCATGCAGTCTCTTGTTTTCTTGCTCGCTCATTCATTTAATACCCATATTATCCATATTATAATACCATTTGCATTTCATTTAAACAGGACAATGGAAGTAAGTGTAGAAGATGTGGCAGTGCGAATTGATTTTTTTGCGATTAGAGCATAGACAAGATGCGTGTTGATTATGGCTTTCTACAAAAGCGGATGTCTAACAAAGGTCTCAATGCGGTTTGTGCACTTTACCATTGCACACTGTCTAGATTCCTTCCTTACTTTGGACGGCGAATGCTCAGGAAAGGGGGTTTGGAGTCTGAAAAAAAAAAAAAGAGAGTGCCATTCTATCCAAAAAGTAGGCACGTAGGCTGGAGATTTTCGCTCCAGATCGTTCAACGCGATCCCAAAGGTCGAGTATGGAAGAAAGAATAGGCTTGGACACGATTTGCCTAAAGTATTATCGCCATTCTCCCATAAAAAACTGGAGGCATGAGCTATAATTCAGGAGTGAAGGGAATTTCCGAATGCTTTCCCCACATTGTATCGAGGCAATGGTCTTCGGAAGGATAAACTTTTGGTTGCTTATCCGAATCGTCTTCTCGGATGTTGGCTGTACACTTTCCGTGTCCGGATGAATGAAGAATCGCCGGAGAATGGTTGCAGCCCCCCACCTTGGGGCTTGAGTAAGGGGGCGTCTTCTGTCTTCAAATTGTAGAGTTTTGTGAAGCAATCGACCAGTAGATTGGATCTAAAAATACGGGCGCAGTTCCGCTGCTAAAGCCGTTATCATCCAAACATATCATGTATCCACGTGCGCTTGTGCTTGTGCTTGGCTGTGTGTGTCCATGGGAGAGATCGACGGGCGGTGCGACGTGTGACAGAGGATAGTGAGAAGGAGTAACGAATGTCCGATGTAGTGCTATAGTATTCAGCGCCCTGCCAGCA